ACCCCTCACGCTCCCCTCTCCCCTCCTTCCCTATTTTTAACATTTTACATTACTGTGCTACATTTGTTACCTCTGATGAACCAATATTGACACATTGTTATTAACGAAAGTCCATAGTTTACACTAGGGATCACTCTTGGTGTTGTACATTCTGTGGGTTTGGACAAATGTATAATGACATGTATCCACCATTATAGTATCATACAGAGTATTTTCACTGCTCTAAAAATCCTCTGTGTTCTGCCGATTTATCTCTCCCTCCCCTCTAACCATTGGCAACCTCTGACCTTTTTATTGTCTCCATAGTTTTGCCTTTTCCAGAATGTCATGTAGTTGGAATCATACAGTATGTAACCTTTTCAGATTGGCTTCTTTCACTTAGTAATATGCATTTGAGTTTCCTCCATGTCTTTTTTTTTTTTTTTTTAATTTTTTGTTTATTGCAGTAACCTTGGTTTATAACATTGTAAAAACTTCAGGTGTACATCGTTATACTTCTATTTCTGCATAGACTACATCATGTTCACCAAAAAATATGGAACACTTCACGAATTTGCGTATCATCCTTGCGCAGGGGCCATGCTAATCTTCTCTGTATCCTTCCAATTTTAGTATATGTGCTGCCGAGGCGAGCACTCCTCCATGTCTTTTCGTAGCTTGATAGCTCATTTCTTTTTAGTGCTAAATATTATTCCACTGTCTAGATTGTAAAACAGTTTATCCATTCACCTACTGAAGGACATCTTAGTGGCTTCCAAATTTTGGCAGTGTTGAATACAGCAACTATTAGCATCCACATGCAGGTTTTTGTGTATACATAAATTTTCAACTCCTTTGTGTAAATACCAAGGAACGTGTTGGCTGGATCCTATAGTAAGAGAGTTTAGTTTTGCACGAAACTGCTAGATTGTCTTCCAAAGTGGCTGCACCATTTAGCATTTACACCAGCAAGGAGTAAAAGTTCCTGTTGCTCCACATCCTTGTTAGCATTTGTTATTGTCTGTGTCCTGGATTTTAGCCATTCTAATAGGTGTGCAGTGGTGTCTCATTGTTTTAATTTGTAACTCTCTAATGACATATGACGTGAACATCTTTTCACATGCTTATTTGACATCTGGATATCTTTGGTGAGGTATCTGTCCAGGTCTTTACCCATTTTTTAATTTGTGTTTTTTCTTATTGTTGAATTTTGAGAGTTCTCTGTATTTTGGATACCAGTCCTTTATCAGATATGTAGTGTTTGCAAATATTTTCTCCCAGTCTATGGCTTGTCTTTTCATTCTCTTAAAGTTTTTCTCTTTTGATACACCTCTCCTAACACCCAACAATTTCATGAGTCAATTTGGAAAATTTTAAAATTAAAGAACAAATTAAAATAGATAAGAATGAAAGTTGTTTAAATTGCTTGGGGATTTACCATTCTCAGGATATTTAAAGTCTTTCAGATTGTTGGGCTGTAATATTTCTATTTACTCTATTAGAAACAGAAATCCAATTGTTCAGTGGAAAAAAGAGGGCAGTCCATGATTGGTTTGTTACTCTAGGAAAGCAAAATCCTCTTTTCTGGATGTTCATGTGTTAATAGTGAATGCTTACATGAACTTTGAATGCCTTTGAGTCAGAGGCATGACCAAACGACTCACGGGAAACAGCAAACAAGACTAGAAACCGTTAGTCTTCTCTGCTGAGGTTGACTATCCGTTGATTTAGAATATAGCTGTCAAAATTGTTTTTAGTCTACTCACTTCTTATCTCGTTATGGCTATATATAAACACACCCAATGACATTAAGTTACCTAGATTTGATCACTTAATGAATATCATGTCTTTGGGAACCAAATATTTAACATAAAGTCTCTAAAAGTTTCGGTCTGATTGTTGACCTTTAGTCATATTTTAGACGTATTTACCTAAAGATGCTTGCAGATGTCAGCAAGTAGAAATAATTAACTTGTAAAGTTGAATAATGTGCTAGAATGAAAAATCATCTGTGTTAGAAGAATCAAGGGTTTTTAGGAGTTGGCAGTGATTGCAGAGGGGATCCCTTCCAGGGCTGGAAAATAGTCTCAACTCCATGTCCTGTCCCAGCTCCGTCCGTTGGCAGTGTCTTTCTCATCACAGTGTGCAGAATAGCGCTGCAGCCGCCCCCGGGCTCCACAGGGAAGAGTGCGTTATAGCATCACACGTTACACGTTATGTATGTGTGTGTGTGTGTAATGCACATTATGTATGTGTGTCATGTGATTACACATTAGTAATTTTGCCATCAGCAAAGGGGGCCCAGTTATAGCCTCAAGCCCGTAGAGTCTTAAATCCTCAATCAGGGATGAGAAAATGAAGCCCAAATAACTTAAAAGGCTTTTCCAGTGTCATCCAGCTAACTGGTGGCTGTGGTGATATTGAGCAGGTAGGGATTTCATTGTTTACATATAACCATCCAGAGTATATTCTAGACAACTGATCTTGGTTCTCAGGGTCGGAAAAAAAATCTCCAGTGTGGGGTCCAGCCCAGTGGCGTAGCGGTTGAGTCCACGCATTCCACTTCGGCGGCCCCGGTTCCCCGGTTCGGATCCTGGGCGCAGACCTACTCACCGCTCATCAAGCCATGCTGAGGCGGCGTCCCATATAGAAGAGCTACCACTCTACAACTATGATATATGACTATGTACTGGGGCTTTGGGGAGAAAAAAAAAAAAGAGGGAGATTGGCAACAGATGTTAGCACAGGGCCAATTTTGCTGGAAAACAAAACAAAAGTCCAGTGTGAAGAATGGACCACTACATAATTGTCTTAAGAACTGTTTATAGTGTTCAAAATATGTTTAAAATATTCAGTAAGAGAAAATCAGGTCTATTCAGGAGAGAGCTATGAGTCATTAATGGAAATCACGATGTAAGAAGCTAGAAAACTAAGAGCCAGTTAGTATAGCAGCCTGTGCTTGAGCTAATCCATGCCCCCTATCAGACAAAAGGAAGAACACAGCAGCCAGAAGACAGCTGATTGAAACAATGCCCAGGGCAGCCTGCAGCATATTCAGAAACAGTTCCTCCATTGAGGGGCTGGCTGTGGTCTGCTAGGTTAGAAGATATAGGAGGCTTTGTGGAGAAAAGTTTATATTTGTTTTGTTTCGATTTGTTTTTTACTCATTGAGAAAGTACTTAGCCAGGCACTGATGTGTATTTGTGTGGGGTTTGTGTATGTGTGTGTAAATATTATGATCGAACTAAAGGTTTTAGGTAGTCAGCAGGTAATTGATGTCTAAAGAAAGAGCAGGACGTGTTAATACTAATGCTGCTTATTGGCGCCACAAGGAGCTGTAGCTGTGTTCCTACAGCAGGAATGCATAGTAACTTCTACATTCATATTCTGCTCTTTGCCAGTTACTAGGGCTGTAATAGCTGATCTTTGTGGAAGGCTTCACGTGTGCCATCACAGGATCAAGTTTGAATACTTTGTTTTATTTTAATGTCAACCATTCCAAATCATTAGGTGGTATTATACCTGTTTTACATAGGGAAAAACAGAGAGGTTCACTTAGCTGCAAGGGACATAATGAAGATTCAAACCCAGGTTTATCTGCTAAAGCCACCGCTCATAGCTACTACTTAATACCACCTCTCTCATCTGACCTCTCTGAACCTCTCTGTTCCTATGTGTAAAGTGGAGATAACACCAGTAGAAGCATTGGAAGGACCAAGTTTTTGTGAAAACTTTATAATTTGTTAAGCATTATTCAGAAATAATATGCTATTATTTATAAATAAAAGATTTAAACCATCGAGCAGCATTTCATTGTCACACCATTTGTTCATATCCATTGAGCAATGTTATGTAGTTTTGCTAACATAATTTATTTTCATACATTAAATTTTTTTCAAATACATCATTGATTATTTAGCTAGCTACAATTCAGGCTTTACTTTTCTATCATAAATCGATGTTTTTTCCTAAATTGTCATGCTTGAGAGGACTGAGTAATTAACTTGCAATATAATTATGTTTGCACAGTAATATACACCATTTACAGGTCTTCTGAGTACTTATTATTTTGACATGCACAATGTTTATCAATTTTTAATATTTCTAATTATTATATTAAAGCTTAAAGACAAATATGTTTAATGTATTAGATATGAAATATTGGTACTACACAAACAAAAAGTAGTTTAGCTTAATTGTTGCCAGTTAATCCATCTCAGACTCCAAGGCCATCTTGAAAGACCTTTGAAGGATTAGATGACACAGTAAATTAAGCTGATGGATTTTTTCCCCCAGATGAAAAGTTCAATCGCCATAAACAAAAATGGGTAGAATTTAAAACATTGCTCGCTGTAACTGTTCCTTTCTCCTAATGACTGCTTTATGGCCAAAAATGTAGCACATACATCTATAACTTATATTTATAAATGACAACTAAAATCTTTAAACTTAATGAACATTTTCTTATGTTTAATAGAAAGGATTTTCTCTAAAAGAAATTAAGAGAAGTTTGAACACTGTAATACAAAACTAAAATTTGTGGCAAAAATAAAAAATAAACTGATGTAGTTAGTTTAACAGGCTTTAGAAAGTGATCCATAGCTAGAATTTCTAGGTAAGGATTGGTATAGTAAGTTTTAAGGGATGGTCTAAGACAAGGAATAGGATTAATTCTTCACAGGTTCAGAATCTGATAATGCGGGGAATTTAGTTTGGGCATTCTGAAACGTGGTTTGTGTTGGTCCTTTAATATTCCTTTCACTATCAGGATATTTATATTGCACAAGATATTTGAGGCTTCCAAGCACCATATCATTTCCCTAGCTACTTTTGTAGGTTTAGGTCCATTTTATTGAGCTTTTTCACTAGTTAAAAAGGAGATGGCGAAGTGTTCACACTTGATCACCGCTTACTGAACAGTTACAGCAAGCAATGTTTTAAATTCTACCCATTTTTGTTTATGGTAATTGATTGAACTTTTTTGTGTGTGTTAACTTGCTTTTCTGTTTTGTTTTCCATAGAAACGCTCCAGAGGCCAAGTGCTGTTTGATAAAGTATGTGAACATCTGAACTTGCTAGAAAAAGACTACTTTGGGCTTACGTATCGAGATGCTGAAAACCAGAAGGTGAGTGATTAAAAACAATACAAAATATTATGCTATAAACTACTCATTACTGCAAGAAGGTGAACTACAACTGGTAAATGATTTTATCCACCTCCCCTCATGCTCCACATTTACTACTTTGAGTCTCTAAGTGCTGTTATTCACCTTATCTCTTCATGAAGGAAATTATTGACAGCTTCCTTTAATCTTGAATATTCTGCAAACAGCAAGTCAGTGTTTCTGTTTTGCATGCTGGAGTTATTTATGGTTCCAGAAAAGCATTTTATATGGTGCTTTTTGGGGATGTATATTTTCGTAGATTTGAGCTAATAAAAATCAACTACATTGATAGTTATATAGAAAACATGTTCACTGGGTGCTGTCCTATTCTTAATTCATCTTATGAGGTCTCTTCAGGGCTTTACCTCACTAATCCCCACAACTACCTGAGAAATAAGAAAGAAGAAGTTGTTGCCATTGTATTGGTGCTGGAAACTGAGTCACAGAAATTTTGCTAATAGATGTTACTTGTTTTGGTGTTGTGCCATGATTCATACTTATTATCTACTGAATTCACTGGACAATGTCTAACTTCATTGTTAAACATCTGAGTGTTCTGAGAAGAAAATCATAAATCTCAAGCAAGTGTTCATTTGTTAGGAAAGTTTTCTAAGTAGATGCCTAAGAATCTGTAATTAGAAAGTCACTGTGTGGGACTGGATGGCTAGGACATCAGTGTGTCAAATTATTTGTATCTTTAGTTTATTCTAGTAACTTGTTTGAACATAGAATCCGCTAGTTTTTCCTCCTCTGTTTCTGTGCTAGCTTGAATCCTTGAAGGCAATGGTTGTCAAAGAAAAGAATTTTGTCAAGCATCAATTGTGCACATACGCATTTTCTCCTTAGACCAGAGTCAGGGCCCTCGTGGGACCTGGTGAAGGGGCACCAGCTGTGCGGGAAGGACCCAGCTTGGAAGGCCTTCCAGAGCCACTCACTCTCAAATATAATAGTGTGCATCTCTGCCTGATCAACACTAAGTCATTTTTATTCTTCTCTGATTCAAATTGAAACTATCATTTCCCTTTCAGAATTGGTTGGACCCTGCTAAGGAAATTAAAAAACAGATTCGAAGTAAGTCCTTTTGGATTATTATGTGTGGAGGTGTGAAGATTTTCAGAGGGTAGAGTTCTCTGAATTGGTAGCCCATACCCCCATGGCGAGTGTGAGTACAGTGTTTTGAAAGTCAGATTAAGATCTCCGATTCTCTCTATGGTGGGTTGGTCTGGCTCAGATCCCCATTTTTAACATCACAATTCAGGAACAAAATGACTGTGACATTTGACTTTTCCCTTGCCCGCACACAGATGTGAAATATGACTTCATCAAGGGATGCTGTAGTTGGTGATTAAGCATTTAAAAGTTCCAAACTTAATTATTAATGTTGTATTAAGCCTAACTGCCATGAAAGTATAAAACTCAAACTAAAAGTAATAGTCATTTAATAGTTTAGAAATGGAATAACCACTCAGACTGAAGTGTGCTGTCCAGTGGCAGCCTCTTTTCTTGGTCCCTAAAGGCAAGTTAAGAAATGCATATTTCCTAATGGACAAAATAATGGCATGAGCAACTCACAAAATTGAAATACAAGCAGCTAATAAGTACTAGACAAGGTGCTAAATCTTACTAACAATTACATGCAAATTAAAATGAGACATTTCTCACCTAGCAAAGATTTTAAAAGTTTAATAATGCCCTGCAAACATTCAAAAGGTCAGATTAAGAAAGATTTGAAAAGTTTAATAGGGCTGGATCCATGGCTTAGCGGTTAAGTGCACGCTCTCTGCTACTGGCGGCCCGGGTTCAGATCCCGGGTGCGCACTGACGCACCGCTTCTCCGACCGTGCTGAGGCCGCATCCCACATACAGCAACTAGAAGGATGTGCAACTATGACGTACAACTATCTACTGGGGCTTTGGGGGAAAAAAAAGGAGGAGGATTGGCAATAGATGTTAGCTCAGAGCCGGCCTTCCTCAGCAAAAAAAGAGGAGAATTGGCATGGATGTTAGCTCAGGGCTGATCTTCCTCACAAAAAAATTAAAAAAAAAAAAAAGAAAAGAAAAAAGTTTAATAATACCCCACACTGGCAGTTATGTACACAATTGGTAGAAGTATAAATTGGTACAACCCTTGAAGAAGACACTTGGTGTCAGTATTTATTAAAATTTAATGTGCTTATTCTTTGACCCCTAATTTTACTTGCAGAAGTTTATCCAGTGTTTGTATAAGAGAAGAAAATGTGCATATGTGTACCTGTATGAAAGTTCATTATAATACTGTTTGCAATAGCAGAAAACTAGAAGCAACTGAAATATCTATTTATAAAGAAATGATTAAATCAATCATGGACTAGCCATACCTTGAAATACTAGGCAGCTATTAAATAGAAGGAGATAGAATAAATATGTCTTAGCTCTCATTAGTAAGACAAACAAATCATATTGGTTTTAAAGTTATGCATATATAGGTGTGTGGAAAAATTCTGGCAGAGCACAAAATATATAAATAGCAAATACTTGAAAAAGTGGCACTGCAGTGTAGGGGGTTGAGAGAGAGAAATTTTTTTAGTTTTTACTTTCAGCCCTTTCTGGAGCTCTTTCTTTTACCATAAACATGGATAATCTTTATAATTTTGACTAAATAGTTTTTTAAAGCAATTCATTTTTCATCAATAAAATCTAGATTAATTTTCCCGAACAACTAATTCTAGTTAAAGAATAAATTTAAGACCAGTTTATTAATAAGAACATCATTTCCATTAAAGTTTTCAGCAGTTTACTATTAAAAGAGAGAGCAGATCTTTCTAGTGCCTTTGAATGTGCTGAGATATCTCAAGACCCCAGGTACTAATAAGGGAAATTAGTAGTGAGCAGTTTGAAATGGTTTAATGCTAAATAATATCCCAAAAGAAGAAAAAAGGTCACTATACTTCTAGATATTAGAGAGTCTGCTGATTATTCATACAACTAAAACATCTTTACCATGTTTTTGAGAGAAATTTGGTGTATTCGCTAACCAGAAACTTGATAATGAAGTAGTTTGATAGAAATAAGTTGGGATTGAAGTCAGGGACAGCCACGGTTATGATAAGGAGGTGAAAACTCTTCCCTCCTTTTGTTCCAGAGAGTTCTAATACAAGGTGTAAGATGATGAGTATGTTCTGAGAATCTGTTTATGGAGTTATTAAAAGCAGATATGCTGAATATATATCCTAACATTTTGTGTGCATAAAGTTCTCTGTATTCAGCTAATTAACAAAATACTGTTTTGTACTTGGGTAATTTATAATTGAAAAGCACTTTGAAAATATATTAAATGTTCAAGGATAAGTCGTAATACTGTTACAAGAAAGGCTGTATAGACAGTCAATTTTCTTTTCTATTGTTAATGGAATTCTTTTTTTCCTAAACTTCCCATTTATCCTGTCTCCTACCTTCCTAAGAGAAGAATGCTCAGGGGACAATGAGAACATGAGATGTGAAGGATATTTTCATCATGTTGATTGGCGATGTTTTGACTACAACATAAAGAAAACTGAGTGACAATCTTTCAGATAAAGGAGGAAACAAGGAAAATTAGTATTTTTTTAATGAAATTTGATATTTTTATCTGTATTCCTTATTGTTTCCCATGCACCAAAATGCCCACAAAATTTACCTTCTGCCATGGCAAAGAAGTATTACCATATCTAGTGTAATTATTGTACCATCACCTCTTCGTCCTAAATATAAACAATAAAAGGATGTTTCCATCCTTTTTATGCTGTAGGTCCATCGTGTGTCTCTAGAATGAGATCTTCAAGAGCATGACAATCAAGCTGATAAAGATCTTAAGTCACAAATTTATGAGAAACAGAAAATTCTGAAACTGAAGAGTTTGTTCTTATGAAAAAATTCTAATTCTAGTCATCTTTTATGCATATCAGATCTTAAAATTTCTAAATATTCTATATTTTGTGATATAAATGTAGTATATTTATAGTATAGTAATTTCATGACAAAGTATGTGATATATAATAATTTTATGCTATAAATGCAGTATATTTAGAAATTTTAAGATTTGGCAGACGTAGAAGAATAAAATTAGAATTTTTTCATAAGAATGAGCTCTCTTCAGTTTCACAATTTTCTATTTATCATAAATTTGTGATTTAAAATTCTATATCAACATTATAGGAATATCATTTTAAGGCATTCAAGCTGTTTCATTTCCTCTTTATAACCAGGGCTATCATCTGAGCAGATACAGGCTTGCAAGCCCATTCACTGCATAATCACATCCTCCTGGTTGATTTGTTTCTACCATATTCTTTACAGGGATATGTATTTGACCTTTAATCTGCCTCTCTCATTAATTTCAAGCTTTATGCCTTATTTAACTGGATTTTTTTTCTTGATTAGGGTTATAGATTATAGTTTCCTTAAACTTTCCCACTGTTTCAAAATAATGTCCTGCAAAACCTTGTGGTTGTTTGGGTTATAACTTTAGGAAAGTAGATTTCTTAGGATTAGTGATTTTCAAAGTGTGGTCTCCAAGCCTACTTACGTTAGAACCACAAGGGGATTTATTAAAACCACAAGTTCCTGGCCCATATTCCAAATCTCTGGAATAAAAATCTCTGGGTAGAGCTTTTAACAAGCACCTCAGATGCTTCCTAGGCCCATTATAGTTTGAAACTCACTTTCCTGGAATGAGGATTTTTGCATTGAAAAATCTTTCTTACACTTTTATTACTTCTTAGTTTCCAACTTAGAACCTTTACCCTGAATTTATTATGAGATTGTTTAATTACATTGATAAACTAGTCATTGGATTCAAGGCATACTTTAAAGTGGATAAAAATTATAAAAGAGCAGTAAATCCATTTCCCGTAACTAATCCATTAGTTTTAATTCCAGTTGCTTGGGGGAAAGCCAGCTCTCATTGATGAACCTCACCACTGGCAAGCATTGAAGGGGGATCCATTTTAGCAGAAAGTGCATAGGAGTCAACAGGAAAGGAAAACCAAATCAGACTCTTTTTAGAATAACAAAAGGACTTTTTTTGAGAACAGTGGGGAAAATAATCACTAGAAATATATTTGATTGAAAGATATTTTATGGCTTATAATTCTTAAAGCCCATGGTCAGTAATATTTTCTGAGTGGTTTAAAAGTGATATTAAGTACCCAGTAATACCTGGTCCTCTGCCAAGTCTGTTATAAGGCACCTCAGCTAGTGTCTCTGCCGTGGGGAACCTCAAGTGTAATATGAAGGGGGTGTCAAGAATAAATTAGAATTAATAAATGGACTGTGTCATTTATGACAGAAGTATAGAGAGCCTGTGCAGCTAAGTATTTGCCACATATGCAAGAGAATAATGCAAAGAAAGGAGCTGGAAAGGACTTAAAATACTGTCCCTTTTTTCTGAATGTTTGGGAAGGGGTCAGGGATAAAAGGGAGTTTCCAGAAGTCTTTAATGGGGAGTGTTTGGAAGTCTTAGGAGATATATGAAGCTTGAGAGCTGGACTATGAGGTCACAGAATCACAGAGTGAAAGGAAGACCATGGCTGTGGCGAGTGGCATAGATGACAGGCTTCCAGGACAGAAGCCAGGGAGAGTAGGGGGATGTTTCCAGTGGCCCATTCAGAATACAAGCAGGCCTACTCTGTGGCCCTTCACTGTGGCTATTGGATGGAGGGAACAAGTATACACTGTCCCAGAGAAGGGACACATGGACCTCAGTAAATTACTGCATTGGAAGGCCAGAAGAAAAGCACAAGATGAATACAAATTAAAGGAGGGTTATGTAGAGAAAGAGTAAATGTAGAAAAGAAGAAAAGTTTGTTTTTTCATGTTTATAATGATAAACCATACACGATTATGGATAGTATTAATAAAATGGAGAGCTTAATAAGGCTTCAAGTGTATGTGTGGACAGTCAGAGTAGGTGCCTGGGAGTTGACCTCAGGCTGACTCTGCTGGAACGGCCATAAGGAGGTGCCACAGGATGGAGAATGGCAGTGTGTACAGAGGACCCGTCCTCGTCATGGGCTGATAAGGAGGTGTGGATTTGATAAAGCACAGTAAATACATTCAGGTATCTCTTTAATCAGAAATTTCCTCAAGTAAGAAAAGAATTTTCAGCCCATAGAGCAGCTCACTTCTTATTCACTACAACAGACCTTTCCTATAAAATAAACATGTCTGAACAGTGCCTCGACGTGTGTTGTGATGGGATTCGACTGTACCAACAAAGCAGAAAGGACGAGGGGGACGGGACTGTGTCTGTGATGCTGGTGTGTGAGCCGTCCAGGACTTCACAGCAGGAGACCCAGTCGCCGCCAGACTTGTCCAATGGAGGGCTGATCGATTGGGGAGTACATTGAGCGTCGTTCACTTGTTTCCCCTCTTTCGAAGGCTTACCTTTGTCCCTGAGAAAGAGAGGAAGTTTAGTCAATTCCCTTGCTAGTTAGAAGCTCCAGTAAAGTATTTGATTGGGGAGAAGTTTCAGCTTCTCTGTGGATTGCATTTAATGGAGGCTTCCCTGTTTTCCTTTAATGATCAAAAGTTGCCTGGGTGTTAGGACTTGGAATTAAGGCAGTTCTAGCTATCGATTAGAATAGTAAGTATCAAGGGATTTTCTGAGACTTTATTCTAATTTTTCTCTCATCTCTGCAGATGGTGCTTGGCACTTTTCATTTAATGTGAAATTTTACCCACCAGACCCCGCCCAGCTCTCTGAAGATATCACCAGGTATTTGAAAGCTGGCTGTGAAAAAGGCAGGCGTTTGGGAGAGTTGTGCTTCTCTTAAGTTCTCCAGAGAAGAGCTATTTACATCTGGTAACCTTATGGTCATCCACACTGAGATGGCACACAAAAAGCCGCTGAATGCGAGCAAACATCTGATGAGAAGATTTGCTAGATCATCTCTGTTCACAGTTGCATCTTTGGTGCTAAGCTAATACTTCCCTCTCCCTGACCCTGGTGGGAAACACGCAGGACTGAGATGCTGTCACTCACCCACCACAGCCACATTGGGTGGAATCCAGCCTTAAATGATATAGCCGTTCTTAGTGCTCCTGCTTTAAAACTTAGAGTGAAAATGTGTCTTTGGTTGCTTATACCTTTTATATCACCAATCTGACACATGACAGCTGTTTAAAAAAATCACATACACGTCCATGTGCACAGACAGATACACGTAAACACATATCCATGTAAGAGTTTGCTTTCCATGCCCTATGTGGATTAATTGACGTTTGGGAAAGAAGACATTAAGAAGGGAATCTAACATAAGGATGTTCTAGCATGGTGGCTGAGCTTTGAGTGTGAGAAGGATCTCTTTATGCAGCCATCGTGGGTTTGATATGTGTCGTCCAGGCTTCTCTGCATTCTGCTCTGGAACCCCTGACTCTGACTGTGTTTTGTAGTAAGTTTATAGCCAATCAGAGTGATATTGTGCAGTGTGTAAGCCTCACATCCTTCTTGGGGGGCTTTTCAGAAAAAGTTTCAGTCACTTGTTATGATTAAAAATAATTTCACCAGGCATATTAGGAGAAGGGTAAAAACTAGTTCCAGAGAATTTCTTTTATGTTTGCATTAACTGAAACAAAATTTATAATTTCTTACTTCAAGACACTGTTTAGTAGTTCTGAAGAACTGTTTAATCATGGCTAATTTATGGTTATAGAGCCTGTGTATACCTGGATTTGACCTTCAGTGCATGGTTCCTTTCAATCTATTTGTGTAATGTTTGTACAACCTGTGAAATGTATAGAAATTTTTGTATCTGAATTACATGGAGTTTGATTGTATCATCAGCTTAAAATCACATTTGGGGGGGACCTTAAGACTTTATTGTAGCCCTCAGCTTCAACAGGTTAACAATTCATCTCTTATATGACGGCTACGAGGTGTATGTTGTTACTATACCCATACACACTGGGCTGTGAAAGGCGTTGTTAAAGCTCATCAGTGTTAACACTTACCTTGGAGTCTTCTGTAGTAATTCTTCAAAGTTAGTCTTCATGTCAGTTGGATTATAAGAAGTTATCTAAATAAAACAATGAGAACTTGAAACAGAAGTTATCCGTGACTATAGAGACCTTCTCGTCGGGCGTACAGGGACCTGAGAGCAGAGTTAACGATGGCGCAGCTCTTCCGTTACCTGATGTCTGTCCTGGTCATATGGCTGAACCTTTAATCTAGATATCCTTACAGCCAGTTGGGACCTAATAATTATATTTAAGAGCACTATGTTTATGTTATAATTCCCCCGACCAGAGATTTTAGGGAGTGTGTTGGGGACTATTCATTTGACTTCAAACATTATTTTAAAAGATGGTAGAGGAATATGTCTTTAGAATTCTTTTACTCTGTGCTTTATTAATAAAACCCTATTTTAGAATGAACATTGAGTTGTTTCTAGATGCTCTTAAGTATTGTATTTTGTAGCCAAGTATTTTCTCCTTATATCTAGATCAAAATATAGATGCAAGAAAATTTGTCCTAGTAAGATTATTTGACAGGGAGAAATTGCATACAACACGATTGGTACTGAGTGGTCTCCTTTTCATGTATCCTAATGCCGGCTTTTTGCTTTGTCCTTTTGACTCCTGGAAGGTACTACCTCTGCTTACAGTTGCGAGATGACATTGTGTCTGGAAGGCTGCCCTGCTCCTTTGTCACCCTGGCACTGCTGGGCTCCTACACTGTCCAGTCAGAACTTGGAGACTATGACCCAGATGAATGTGGGAATGATTACATTAGTGAGTTCCGCTTTGCACCAAACCACACTAAAGAGCTGGAAGATAAAGTGATTGAACTGCACAAGAGCCACAGGTTAGTGGCAAACACCCTGGGAGCATTCCATTTAAGTTGTGCCTGAATGAGTGAGCATCCCTTATACTACCCACTTTCCCCAGGATTAATTTCAGCACATTGTGGATGGGACTTGAGCAGAGTGGGGGTCGGTACTTGGTAGCATTCTGGGATAGTTACATTCTCACTGAGAACGTCTATTTATGATGTTCTCTTTAAAAGCCATTTTGCTTTTTACTTCTTTCCCCTCCTCAGAGCACAAATCTGCTGGTGCCTCTCTGGGGGCTTGCTTAGTAGACAGCAAGGAAGCTAAGTGGGAAATGTCACAGCCCCGCCAGGCAGAAGCGAAGCAGCATTGTAATGCTTTTCTTTTCCTTGTCAGAGGAATGACGCCAGCAGAAGCAGAGATGCATTTCTTGGAAAATGCCAAAAAACTATCCATGTATGGGGTAGATTTACATCATGCCAAGGTATGCATTTTTTAAACTACGAACTTTCTATTTAATTTTCTTTAATTCAGTGTTGTTATTGTTATAAGCTGGTGCTTTTTGCTTCAGTTCGTGTAAATGAAAACTTGGGAGATTCAAGTTTGTTTGCCTTTTAAGGCCTGCTCAGTGATGGAACGGGTTTAGCTCTCTGATATTCTTTTGAGGGGTTCGCTCTGCTTGGCTCAGACTCACGCTGCTCCTGGCCTCAGCCAACTGAAAGCCCAGTAGGCAAAGCCACCAATTGCCTGTTGATTCAGTTAGAGATTTGTCTTCACACAGCGAGCTCTCAGCCCACTCCACCTTCCCCATCACGGCTGTATCTCCCACTTTGTGCCGACATGTGTCCTTTGCTCCTGCCAGTCCCTGTCCCAGCCTTTTCCCTGAGTATCTCCGTCTTTGCCCTGCTCCTTCCTGTCTGCCTGTCTAAACTTGGCTGATTGTTCAAGAGCCAAGTGTCACGTCTGTTATGTACCAAGAACTGTTTATGCCCCTGCTCTGACACCCACCAGGGACTCAGTATATTCATGTCAAATTTAAATAATTCTTTCTCTAAAGTTTGGGTACTCTGACAAATAATCAGCACTTTGAAATAAGGTTATTATTTTGAAGTTCAACTAAAATTAACCACCCAGTCTGAGGATTTCTTCCCTATAGGTAATTGGTAAAATGTTAAAGCTATATGTTGGCTATAGAGTCTTGAGAAGAAAGAAGTTGGAATTGGACTGTGGGAAGATTGAGGTTGTGAGGATACATAGAGCAGCTTTTACTCCACGTCCTACTTTTTCCAGAATCTCTGTATTTTTCAGCAGTGAGAGAATGAGCATGTGGACTGTGAGTCTGTTACTTGAACAGCTGTGGATAAAAGTACTGTGGGAGCACAGACAAGCTTTTGTGCAAACTGTTATCATCAAAACATACGATATTTGTTAGGATCTTAGGGATGGATTCTGGTACTTCAGCAGCGTTAAAAAGATCAGTGTTTGAAGTTCGAGGGCAGTTTATTCTGTTTTGTGCTGACGAGGTAACGGGGCTCCTCTGTGGGAATATGCATTTTACTTCCAACAGAACAGTTACCAGTTTCACAGTCTGGGACTCGCAAGAATGTGCAGTTAACAGGCTTCCAGGCAAGTGAGTATCTTACACAGTCAAGTTTGGGTCCAGGAAATGAAGAGAGTTTCAGCTGGCTCTATTCAAGCAAACCTCTCTCCACTCTGAGGCCCCAAGGGTAGGAAATCTGTGATCTGTAGGTTCTGTTGATGCTGCATGTGGAGCTGCTCCCTGGTCGGCATTAATCCACAGTGAATTTGGGTAAGACAGTGGTGGTCATCAAACAGATGCATGTCTGATTGGTTATGTCTGTGGACCATTTTCTACCTCACACAGGATGAGTACTGCCTGAGCACTAGCAGCGTCTCTGGGACTTGGCTGGGCTCATCCCAGAGGGTGCTGCTACACTAAATGACAAGCTCTGTGACGTTTGTGTGTAATTAGAATAGCAGGTGTAGCTCTATTTGCTTGCCAATTCATTATTATGTTTTTTCACTTATTTTGCACTTAGATAACAAAGATGTTTCATATTTTATGTCAGGTATAAGACAGGATGAGGATTTTAAAAGAACATGAGGACACACACTAAGATTGTTTTTTCTCTTGGAGTTTGTCCCTAGGTGGCCAGAAAATAAAGAAACGAGAAGAAAATGAAGGCAGCCTGAAAATTTGAGTGAATCAAAAGCCTTTTTTTTTTTTGTGAGGAAGATCAGCCCTGAGCTAACATCCATGCTAAATCCTCCTCTTTTTGTGCTGAGGAAGACCGGCTCTGAGCTAACATCTATTGCCAATCCTCCTCCTTTTATTTTCCCCCCCAGAGCCCCAGTAGATAGTTGTATGTCATAGTCGCACATCCTTCTAGTTGCTGTATGTGGGATGTGGCCTCAGCATGGCCGGAGAAGCGGTGCGTTGGTGGGCGCCCAGGATCCGAACCCGGGCCGCCAGCAGCGGAGCGCGCACACTTAACCACTAAGCCACCGGGCCGGCCCTCAAAAGCTATTTTTGAGTTACATTACTCATGATGATTCACTGACTGCCCAGGAAAAATAAGTAAATAAGAGATTAGGGCGTACATTTAGGGAAGTGCAACTCAGGATGTGTCAGTGTTCCTATCAGTAAAAATAAAATCACTTAACATAGCTATAGCTACTGAATTAAAATAGCTGCTTTTTCATTCAGTAATATGATTTGAATTATGCCAATTAAAAAAGATAGAATTAAGAAAATGCAAATGCAGCTTGTTATAGGATTTCATCTGAATATTCAAGTATAACAAATGATTTGGTTATGGACTCCATTTTCTCATGCAGTCGCACTCCATCATTTCAAGAAGGAAATTGACTGAATTAAATTAGAGCTGATTTCCAGTTATAAATGAGATGCTTCTCTTCTATTGATGACATGAAAGGCCCTGAGCATTTGGACCCATTTAGAAATTCTGAATTGTAACCTTGGATTCCAAATCTGTATAAAGAATAAATAGTCGTATTAGATAATGGTCTCTTGTTTTGGAAAACCTATTCTAAATACTTGAAGACCGTCTCTGCTTATCATTTAACGTCAGTCTGAATAGGTTGTATCAGGGTCATTTATTTCATATAAGTTTCAAAAATGTAGATATAAATCCATCTCGGATATCCCATGGACCAAGTGATACTGAAGGATGGCAAAGTTTAAACAGTGATTTTAAATTAAGGGAATAGTATACTTGTTTATTTTAATCGTGATAGACTGAGACCATCCAGGTGTTCCTTCAGTACTCCATGCTAAAGGGAGCATGAAATGTGTTTGTTGACAGGGAAACACACGTCCCCCAGAAAAACTGCTGTGTAGCTTTCAATACAAAACATTTATCAAACTAACCTTAATACTGTGGGCCACGACAGAAAATTTGGTATCAAAAGCATCATTTCTCTGTTGCTGTGCAATTAATGAAATGGAGGTGTTCATCCAATTTAAAACCCCACTTATTCCTGACCTTTTCTTTCTTCATCTGCCTTTTCTTTCAACAAACTTGTAACAGCTTAAGACACGCTGGGTAGGCACTGTGCTGACCCTGGGGTTACAGAGGTTAACAGAGCTCCTGCCCTCCACCAGCTGACAGTCTCGAGGAGGAGAGGGAGGAGTGGGAGTCTGTGGCAGCACCGTCTGCTCGGGTCGTGCCAAAGATGATGGGATGAGGTAGGGACACAGAAAAGTGTATGTCAGACAGGAAGGCGGGGATCTAAGGAGCCTTCCTGATCTTCCCCATGAAGGGAGTCTGTTTTCTTAGGATTCAGACACATGGGTGATTTAAAAATAGAGAAAATAATGAAAAAGGTTTTAAATGTCCTTTTCTCTCTTTAGGTCAAAGGCATATTTCCTAAACTTATGTTCTTTATTTATCAAAAAGAAAGTGAATCAAAGAGCAGTTATTCAAACAGTCCTCCTCCTGCCTGCATATCTGCGTATGGTACGAGGTGGTCACCTCTGAGGTTGTGCGAGCAGATTGGCTGGTTCTAAAGGATCAATAATGCCAGCTACTTGTCAGCATCAGGCTATAGCTCTTTAAATTCCGCTTGCAAATTAAAGCCCTTGATAAGTGTGGGCACTTTCTCGTCTTTGAGTTTTCTTCAAATTTTACTATGTTGTAAAATCCTGCCATCAAATATTTCCACTCCTATAATTTCAAATTTAATGGAGTGATACTTTACCAAGGTAAAATATTTCATTTTAAACTAATTAGTTTGCATTTGTAAACTTATATTTCCCAGAGATAGACCAAAATATTTATTTTTGATTCTGGAAATGTTCATCTTGTGCCTTGCACTGGCAGGATTTAGGAAGTTAATTCCCACCATATGCATGAGTCGGAATCTGCTGTTTGGATTCTTCCATTTTGCCCCCTCTCTCTGCTGGTGCTGCACACTGACTCACAGCCAGGACAGCCCTGTGGATGAACGTGGTGGGGGGCCTCAGCTTCGCCTCCGTGTGCCCCCTGCTTCCAAGAACCAGGGAGACGAGGGGGTGGAGACTGTGCCTCACACACGGTCCTGCCTTCTGTCCTTGGTTTTTACTCCACTCAGGGCCACTACAGACATTCATTTTACCCGAACGCAACATTGAGGGGGCATAGACTGCACATTGTAGGTCTCCTAAGCTTTTTGTAACGTCTCTTATGACCTAGGGACCTCTGGGCATCATGCGTCCCTAGGAAATGACCTAAAGATGAAATGTGCAAAGAGCAAAAACAGGTGCAAATATAGCATGATCCCACTTTTGATCAAAAAGACTAAACCCTACACATGTATAAAATGTCTTTGTAGTTGTGTGTGACCCATATTGTGCAGTGGTTACCACTGGGCAGTGTGCTTGTGTTGGAGGCCTTTTGGGGAAGTACGTTCATACTTTAAAAACAACTATTTAGGGCCGGCCCCGTGGCTTAGGGGTTGGGTGCACGCGCTCCGCTGCTGGCGGCCTGGGTTCGGGTCCCAGGCACGCACCGACTCACTGCTTCTCCGGCCCTGCTGAGGCCGCGTCCCACATACAGCAACTAGAAGGATGTGCAACTATGACATACAACTATCTACTGGGGCTTTGGGGAAAAAAAACGAGGAGGATTAGCAATAGATGTTAGCTCAGAGCCAGTCTTCCTCAGCAAAAAGAGGAGGATTGGCATGGATGTTAGCTCAGGGCTGATCTTCCTCACAGAAAAAAAAAAAAAAAAGACATTTAAAAACAACTATTTATATTTAAATTTTATTCTGACAATAATAGTATAGAGAAAAGATCAAGGCTTATTTTCAAGTAACAAACCCCAAAACACTTGTAGGAAAGGACAGGGCCCCTCTGTTAGTATACGTATTAGTTAAGAGTGCTGCCTTGGGAACCAGGCTGCCCACAGTCAACTAGGACAGACACTTAACCTCTCCCTGCCTCGGTTTCATCATCTGTAAAATGGGAATAATAATAGCAACTATCTCAAAATATCCTAGTGAAAAGTAAAAGAGTTAATATAAGTAAAGTGCAGAGCAGTGCCTGGCACTCAATAAATGAGAACTGTGCTGTTGTTAACACAGCCTCATCTGGGTGGCCTTCTCCATGTGCAGTGTTGACATCGTATGTCTGCAATACCTGAGTGGGCAGATCTTACTCTAACAAATCATCATAGTGATAAGTGTCGTCATTCGAAGGCTATTATTTAGTGGTAATGTTTAAAAATGGCTTCGGTATTTTTCATGTTTAAATTAGAGCTACAGGTAGTCAATTATAGGCTCTGTCATGGGGGCTTAAACGTCATACCCAGCTCTTGGTGGAAACAAGTGAGATAGGTACAGGTCTTCACTGTTGTTTTCTGCTGCTATTTTCCAGGATTCTGAAGGAGTAGAAATTATGCTAGGAGTTTGCGCAAGTGGTCTGTTGATATATCGTGACCGACTACGAATAAACAGATTTGCCTGGCCTAAGGTTCTAAAAATTTCATACAAACGGAACAACTTTTACATTAAGATCCGGCCGGGAGAGGTAAGTAGACCTAAATTTGCATGTGCATTGGGAAGAAAGGTACCAGACAGGAAACAAGCATTTAAATTGTCTGCTCACAAGTTCTGAATGGTAAGTTATGTCTAGAGGCCTAAGAGAATTTATTGTAGGTTTGTCCAATAAACAGTAATAAATAAAATGTTCTCTTTTTTTATTATTTTATTCCAATTTTTCCCACTATGTACATTAATTGAAAGGTCTTTTTCAAATACATTTTAATGTAAAATCCAGATTCATGAATAATATTTTGTATGTATCAAGCTGTGGTATAAAGGAAACTCTTAGTCATTAAACCTCTTTGTGACTAAAGAATCGATTTTTTCCCAACTGTCCTGTTTTTAGGTCTCCATGTTCTCTCTCTGCCCTCAGAGTCTGATAGCATCCTAAAGTGAATAGCTTAGAGAGAGTGTGCATCAAGTTACAAGAAAGATCAGACTCAGGGACACTGGGTGTAAATTATGTAAATATATTTCCACATTCTTTTTTTAATCAGAGAGGCTAAGGAAAGAATCATAATCGTTAACTAATCCTTATTCCTTGGGTAATAGCATCCATGATCAGCTTATATTTATATCCTTCTTAGTGCTTCGTACATAATAGGTAGTAAATATCTGCTATTATCTGCTTAATAGATAATTAATGAATACTTGCAATTTTTAATTAGTATGGTTAATATAATGGAGGCAGTCAAAGCTCTAAGATTGCAGCTCATTTATTTCCTCTGAACATTTTCTGGTACAATGTAGAATTATCTCTTATCTTCAAAATCAACCTCTCCACTGGTGGAAAATGCAATTAAAATATTAGACTGTAAGGCAAGCAGTCATGTTTAGTGTAAATATAAAATCATACTTGTCTATGAAAACTGAAATAATTCATAAATTTTTCATGTAAATACCTGAAATTGCAGTAATTTTTTAATATTTCCTACAGGTTACATGTTAAACTTATAAGCAATATATATTCATTTGGATTCATTAAACATATATGAAGTGAGCATCTATTTATTGTCAGGTACCACACTGGCACTGGAAATAGAAAGATCAATATTTCCTTGTTCTGTCCTTAAGTGACTTTCTGTTTAGCAGAGAAACAGACTCATGCACTTTAAGAGTTATAACATCATGATACAAATGTGATGATATTCCACAGACATGGAATGAGCATTGTTATGAGAGAAGGGAATGTTGGAGAAATGCATCGGGAGACAATAGTGAGCCATGGAAGCTTTTAAATTAGGACGTGACAACTAACTGACTATTTTGGAATGATGAGTTTCTTAATAAAATTCAGCTGCTTAGTGATGTGATGTGATAAGATCTAAACTAGGGCAGAGGCTGTGGGACTAGAACAGAGGGGGCAAATTAAGATTTCAGAGGCAGACAATAGGTCCTGGAGACAGGGTGGGGAAGGATCAAAAGAGGAAAGAGCCCAGGATAATCAGAGGTTTTCAGTTTGCATGAGAGAAGTTGATGGAGATGATATTATTAAACATGAGAGGAAGGGGGTGAGAATTGCAGAAGAAAATACTGAAAGTCCTTTGGGACAGATTTTCAGAGGGTGATTCTTGCATAGTAATAAATATAAGACTTGAACAGAGTCATCCACTATATACATTTTATTCAAGGCCTTAGGCATGGAATAAATTTCCCAAAGAACAAAGGAAGTTAGAGAAAGAAAGAGTCTCTAAAACAAAAACTCCAGGTAACACCCCTTTTTGAGGGAGAGGTAGGCGGAAGAGGAACATAGGGAGATTAAGAAAAACACCCAGAGAAAGAAAAGAAGGGACAAAAGCAGTCAAGGTTGACAAAGAGATGAGCATCAGGGGCTGTGGTTAACCAGCACTGCCAAAGGCTGCAGAGACGGCACTGGGAATGAGAACTGACAGTGCGTCGGCTTTGACAGTTTGCTCACTTTGTGACGTGAGCAGTTAGGAAGGTGGGAGCACCTGCCAGGTTGCAGTGAGGCAAGGAGTGAAGTAGCTAGGGCTTCTCCTTAGCGGTATTCAGCAGTGAGGAGGGAGAGGGTTCTGATGCAGGCAGAAGCAGGCTCAAAGAAAATTTTTTCCCTTTTTTTACGATCATATTTATAGGCTGAGAAGAAATTATTGGTGGCACAAAGGCTCTGAGGAGGTTGAAAGAAATGGATACAAAGCAGAGGAAGATAAACATTCCAAACATGCATGGGTCTCTGTCATCCTTGTGCTAAGGAGGATAGCAGTAAGAGAATCTTCCCAGCTTCTTGCAGCAGAGCCAGTTGACTCCTCTTTAAAACCCCTGGCCTTAGCGTAGTGTGTAGGACATAGTAGATGCAGGATGAATCAATGGAGGATGGTTCAGTCAAGATCCATTGTAGTCTGGCTTGTCTATTGACTGGGTCCTTTGGACAGTGGTGATTTGTATGACCACCACTGCACGTGAATATCAGAGTGAGTAAGAAATTGGGAAAGCCAATTGCAGTTAGAGCAACCTGTGATATATTTCCCAGTTCCACTCAACAAACAAGAACAGAGGTCAAGCATAATTATATCTCATATTCCATGCATAGGACCCCTCCTTTTAGTTCTTTGCCACATAAATTACTTTTGCTATTGATTATATCAGTAGTCTGGTGGTTTTGTGCTCCTTTGGAAAGCCTTTATTGTTTAAGATGCTTGCCCTCTGGTGGCCTGCTGCATACTGTCTTCAGAAAATAAAAAATTATTGAGTATCTGCAATAATAATATTAAAATATTACTCAGGAAATCAGATATTTCACCTTGAAAAATAAAATGACTGATAGCATATCATCTGAACTACATGTGCTGAAAAATATGAAAATGTGTTTTCCCAATCTCTGATCTTACATCAAGAAATGTTAACATTTAACATGATAATCCATATTAGAGTGCACGAATAAAACCAGCAATATCTGTACCAAGTCATCAAACACCTGGGAGGTATGCATGTTTCCTGACGATGCTAGGAGAAAATGTCATCCTGAGAGTGCTGTAGACTATAAACCTTTTGTTCATTTCTGTATATTCCAGTTGAAGTCATGATGTCATGGAGAGTCCATGAAAATAAGGCTTAAAAATGAGAAATTGGTTTCTGGAAGGAATCCAAATATCTTCCTTATTTGCATTTAGTTTTCGTAAGATCCATACTTCTACATAAAACATTTACTACATATATAATGCAGTTATCTATACCTGCAGCATTTTAAGGAGAGAAATATAAGGAGGGTTTTTTTGATGAATGAATGTATGTAGCATGAATTCTGCATATAGCAATTGATTTAGTGAATAAAGAAAAAATTTGTGTGTGGTATTATGATTTTGTAAATTATTTGCTTTTGTGTTATTTCTAATTCCAAACTTGATTTTATTCTTCAATATGTTTTTTAAATTTAGTTTGAGCAATTTGAAAGCACCATTGGGTTTAAGCTGCCAAACCATCGAGCTGCCAAGCGTTTATGGAAAGTGTGTGTTGAACACCATACATTTTTCAGGTAGGTAAAAATCATTTTGTTCTTTCCTAAGGAAGAATTAGAGTGGTTGGAATCACTTATACTGGAAAAGGTTATTGGGAAGAAGAATGTAGAGGCATATCCTTTCTATTCTTTCAAGTTTACTATCACCAGATTTCTTGACAAGAAATCCTAAAAGAATTTCTGACTAAATTTGAAGGATTTTCCTTAATTTGTCTTATACTTATCTGCCCCATCTCCCCTTTCTTTATTATCTTTAGTGTCTTTTCATTATTTTTACAGGATGTCCACTTTAAGTGTCCCATCTGTTCCTTACTATTTCAGTAATTTCTCCATACCCTAGACTCCTTTGCTCACATACAGTACCAGAGCCATCAGATTTGTGTCTACAAAATAACAAACTATCATGGTTCTTCTTCACTAACATCACCTAATTAATTGCTCTTTGGGTTTGTAAAACCATAGGCTCTCCAGTTGCGTGGGATGTTAAAGTCGTCTTGGGCAACCCAACTCCCGTTTTGCCTGTAGCGACTCTACAGCATCCCTAGTTGATATGTACTGTGTGAAGTGATTTATTTTTCCTTATAAAATCCGATTCATTTAATTGCAGTCTGGGTGTTAAACCTTTAGCACGCATGCACTTTCCCTTTCAGAACAGAGTAAAAAGTTAAGAGCATTCTTAATATATGACTTAATCTTTCTGGTGTTTTTTCCTTTACTATCTTTAGACTGTTGTTACCAGAAGCACCTCCAAAGAAATTCCTTACCTTGGGTTCCAAGTTTCGTTACAGTGGCAGAACACAGGCCCAAACAAGAAGAGCCAGTGCGTTGATAGATCGTCCAGCCCCTTACTTTGAACGCTCGTCCAGCAAACGTTACACCATGTCTCGAAGCCTGGATGGAGGTAGGCATCGCTTACTGGCCCTTAATGATCTCCGGTGGCTGCCTGACAGTATGAAACCGTCCTGAGCTCTCGATAAACACAGATCCTCTTGTACAGTATGAAATGAAAAGCACTTGTTGGTCTGTGGCTGCATGGCAAGCTTTAGCTGCCCACCGTCAAACAATGAGTGCCTGTGTGAGTCTGAAGTCTGTTGCTAGGAGACTGATATAAACTTACATAGAAGAGCAGGACTTAGGGCATGGAGAGTGCAGCTTTTATAAGTCAGCACCCTGCATTCGAAGAAAGATGCTCTCATTCTGAGTAGTCACATACTTTATAAGTAATTTAGTTCTTTTTCCAGTGCATTCTAAATGATTATCAGGTTTGTTTGAGATGATTTGTTTCAGACAGAAAACTGCAAGTTAAATTCTCTGTTTCTAAAAAATTTTTATGAACAAAATGTGACTTATTAGTGAATAATAGCTGATAGAAAGAATGACATTTAAATAACAGAGAAAAGGGCTCTAAGTGAAATCTTCCTGGTTAGTGTTAATTACTATACCAGATGGCCTGGGAGAGCATTGCTATGTAATGTTCTCTGCTTTTGTCAAATGTGTGAGTAAAACAGGGAGAGAATCACTTAAACAGCATTTTTAAGGAATGACGTAATAGTGAGTTCTGATTTGTGTCAAGTTTTGTACGGCTGTCTATAGTTACGTGCGGCTGTGCTTTCTGCTGTAAGACGTGGCAGCTGTGGTAACACCTAACGCAGAGGCTGAGCCAGGGCCAGGCCTCTGTCTTCTAATTCGGGGCACCTGGAGATGAGCTTTTTATAGGAGACCTATTCTGTGCACATAAAAAGAGTTAGAAGTTTCTAACATGTGTGTACGATTTTAATAATAAGGAAAAACATAAATAAAAATAAAGTTACAAGTGCCTGGGATCACCTTCCTCCTTGCCTTTTCTGCCACTGCTTGCTGCAGAGTCTCGGTCCCCCTGTGCCTGTTCACCATCCCCCAGTGTAGTTGGTGGGGCGACGTTCTCCCTGAATCCCCTGATTTAAAAGACTATTTTCCTAAAGGGATACTTCCTAAACAGTTTATAGAAGAAGTCAAAATTGTGTCATTAGTGCTATATCACGTATGTTACTAGTGAAGTGGAAAGAATGCTTACCTCATGTAGAAAAATCCAGACTGAAGTCCAGGCCCTCTGTCTGTCTAGTGGTTGGTGAATGATCTGAACTCTCCAGGTCTCCATTTTAGTCATCACCTGTAAATGGGAGTCAGGCCACTTCTGACAGGGTTCTTGCGAAGAGTGAACAAGACATAAGTGCAAGCACTCTTGTTATAGATGTAATTATAATTATCTCAATAATTACATTGATAATTACCATTTAGGCTTTTGTGAGCTGGCCTAGGAGTTAATTACCATTCTATATCTTCTAAGAGTTTCCTGTTTTCAGAATATCTAACTTAGAGCCAGACTTTTGGAGTAAAATGTTTATTAGGACTGTTTCGAGTTGAATTAAGGTTTGAAATATCCATGTTAAAATTCAAGCTTTTCCTTCGGTGCTGTTTCGTATACTCTTCTTTCTCCTTAGAGAATCTCTTTAAACTATCTGTGTATTCTGTGAGCCAGTATTGGAGGGACTTTTGTAGGATCACACCTTTTCTCCCAGAATATCATCTACTTTGTTCAGTGATGTGTATCCAAGGGAATACATTTGTTGTTAATGTTGTTTTCCTCATGACATTTTGTGTCATGATGGTTGCTGAGAAGACAGAAGACAGTTGTGAAATCAGTGTACTAATATCATGCTGTCTCTTCCTCCTTGCCCAAAAGTGATGTTAGTATGTGTTGTCTCACACTCTGGGGTCCTGCCAGTTCTAGTATGTTTTGTGTGCTGCTCAGCGGGGCCGCGGCTGCATGCTGGAATAGAAACTGCTGTCTGCAAGGTTGCATCTTATGTAGAACAGCCTAATTGGCCCATTAATAAACTGTCTCATATGAGCTTTTTCATCAGTATAAGAAAATATAAAATATCTTAGTGAAGGTATTTTAGTGAAATTAATAGGATTTCAGAATCTTTTCTTACATTTATGTTTTAAACTTTTTAAAATATGAAAGCAAATTATATTTTGCTTGTGATAACTACTGTGTATTTGAAAAGCAGCATTTATAAGTTTCAGTAAATTTCATGACATCAAAAACCTAAACTGAGTATCAAATTTTAAAAATATGACTGAATTAAGCATCTCTTTCACTAAGACATTTTAGCTGGGATGAAAGGCTATGTCATCTCTCTTATGTTTGCATGCTTTGCTTTTGCATGAATTTCATTAGCAACATCTGTCTTGTTTTCCAAAAATATTAGAGATGAATGAATGTGTGCATATCATGGTAGTCTGTTTAAATTAAAGTGTAGAAATTAAAACGTTTCTGCACTTCAGCTGAACAGATTAGCCATCTGAATTTTATAATCTCTACCAAGATGGTAAATTTTCATTATTACCCATGGGGCTTTTGTACTGTAGGAGTGATAGACTTTTCAACCATTAATAATAGTAACAATAATAATTAAAAAACATTTCAGTGCTCCTTGGTGAATAGCACTTCCAAACATGTTCAAAGTCAAGGGCCCTAGAGCAGTTGTCTACTGCAGATACTGCCATCGGTCATGGGACTTGCCACTCGGTGCCTGGTGCTCGTGCCCGGCCAGTTTCTCCGGGGGTAACAGGCTCAGCATCCTTCCACCGCATCCACCCCCGCACATCCTCACCAGAGAGTCGAAGAATGGATGAAAGTGATTCTGCTGGCTTCAAAAGATGAGCGTCCAAATCCCTGTAAAACATTGGTGTAGATGATACAGAAAGATGAATCTATGGTGGTGCTTAGATGGAGGTACCTGCATTGCTGGCTTGTCTTTTGAAGACAAACCTGGTATTGTGTGGGGGTATTTTTTCCCATAATGGGGCAATTGGTGGTGGTCATCTGTCTTCTGATTTAACTATTTCAGAATTTATTTCTCCAATTATATTTGCTTTTAGCGTCAGTGAATGAAAACCATGAAATATACATGAAGGATTCTGTGTCTGCTGCAGAGGTTGGTACTGGCCAGTACGCCACAACAAAGGGCATCTCTCAGACGAACTTGATCACCACTGTGACTCCGGAGAAAAAGTCCGAGGAGGAGCGCGGTGAGGAGGAGGACAGACGGAAGCAGGCGGAGGAGGCCACGCCCGTCGCAGCAGTCCGGCAGGAGGGAAAGGTACATCTCCTAGGCTGCCTCCTGGAGCTGGCTCAGACTGTTAAGAACTGCTAAATCATTCTGAGGATATAAACCAGGAATGTGTTAAGACTTAGGCTAATTCATATTCAGCATTAGTCACATTTGTATTGTCAAGTTTTAAATTATTATTTTCCTCTGAAAAATTCCTTCTTAACTTTTTGAAAATTTTTATTTTAACAACTGATGTGCTGTGGAAGACTTTCAACAGCTGTCCTGTCTATATATCTTAAAAATACATTCAGTGGCGTACTATACTTTTCTGTTTGGTCTCACATTTCAGAACTGTCGCTAAAGATATTTTCCTTGTTTCTGGCCCCATTCTCCTGCCCACATACTGTATGTTTTTTTAGAAATACAGTAATTACATTGCCATTCTTCTGACTGCGGTAACTGAGTGACCACAGCCTGTGTACTTACACATGGTCTCCTCTGTCAGTCTTAGGATTATAATCGAATCATGAAAGTAGCAAGTGGCCGTGTTTTAAAAGGGGCTGTTGAGGCTGAAGGTTGCAAGGGAAGATGGAAAGTGAGTTTGGCAGCAGTTTCTCCAAGGTGTTTTATGCATTAAATTTTGTGACTTCATTTCACCAAAAACTCAAATTCCTTTTTAAACATTATGTTTATGGTGATCCAGCACTATAATGCAACTTTTCAGAAAAATAACTCAAAAGTCAAACAAGTAGACAATCTGCATCTGGTTCTGGATTTTGTACATAGCAGAGCCGCTCCCTAAAAGTCAGAAAACTCATCAGGAGGTTTATACATAATAACGGAAAAACGGAGGGGCTCCTCGAATATACAGAGTACAGAGTGAAAGGAAATAGCAGAATAAAAATGCTGTAAAACTTACAGGTTCTGTTGATACTTGCATAAGTTTGATTCAAAAGTTCTTTTTTGCACATGGGCTCTTCAAATATAGATTTATATGGTAGAGACTCACCACTTATGGCTCTACAGAAAAATGCTCCTCTTGGCAGGAATTTCACAGTGACTTCTAAATGGGTAGATCAACAAACGTATCATTGTTGTAGTTGTTAGAATATTCCAAATGACTCAATCCATCTTCTTTTTTTTTAGGATAAGATTATTTATTTGCCAAACACAAAAATAAAAACAGGATAGGAAATGACAGCAAGAATATTTGGATCACTTTTGCCATTAAAATATGCTTTGTTCTGAATTTTGTTTTCACACTCTTCCTTTTCAATTATGTGAAGGAAGGTTTTAAATGGGACATGAAAAGAAGATAATATACCTGAAAAGCAAATGTGTTCCATGATTTCTTGAAATCTCGCATGCCGACATATGATTCTCGTGGATGTGTAAATATAATTAAATGGCACATAAAAAAGTAAATGACTTTTAGTTTGCTCCAAAAATAGATCTAGGCTGTCTCAATTTTTTTGATTTTAAAAGACCGCCAATTTGTTTACGTAAAATGTAGCAGTAAGCTCTCATCACTTTGTGCCATTTATGCCATGGGAAAATAAACAAAGAAAACTGTGACTCTCATAGAGCGAGTGACTGAGAAGGTGGCACTTTGGCTCAAATGCCTTCAGAAAGACTGTGGCCGAGACCTGGTCCTTAAGTAGGTGCATGGCTGTCTTCATTTCCCAAAGTGCAAGGCTGTCTTTTAAAAACCATTTTAATAAGCAGCATGGAGGATTAAAACTTAATTTTATTCTTCTCCATCTTCAAAAAGTATCGTAGAAGGGACTCATTTTTTTGTGTGTGTGAGGAAGATCAGCCCTGTGCTAACATCTGCCAATCCTCCTTTCTTTTTTTTTTTTTGCTGAGGAGGACTGGCCCTGGGCTAACATCCGTGCCCATCTTCCTCCACTTTATATGGGACGCCACAGCGTGGCTTGCCAAGCGGTGCGTCGGTGCGCACCTGGGATCCAATCCGGCGAACCCCGGGCCGCCACAGCTAGCATGCACACTTAACCGCTTGCGCCACCGGGCCGGCCCCAAGGGTACTCATTTTTTAACCAAAATAAAAATGTATTACTGAAAATAGTTCTTAAAAGGCTGGTCCCCTAGACTGCTTCGCGAGGAGGTGTGTTTCCCAGGCTGATGATCACCCCAGGTGGCTGGCCAGCCTTCCGCCCCTGGGGAATGACTGTCCGCATGCGGGAGTCAGCTTGTAACTTTTACATGAGTCTCAGTTGAATGAGTATATGCAGGGTCTTGTTTAAAACAAGTTGTTTAATGTCAAGTGTGAGTACTAGGAAAGACATACTTGTCTAATGCTAAAAAGAGACACTTCTAAATTCTAATATATCCATGATATAATTTTATAGATATAATTTTATTTGTGCATTTTCTTACTCTGTCTCTAAATTTACCAAGTCAAGATTAGAGCACCAGCACGAAGCAGGCCGGGTAATTTCCATGCTATCAGGTCCCTAGGCAAAACACGCATGTGTACACACACACACACACACACACACACAGTGTCACAGAGAGCAGCAGAAGTCTAATGATCTTCAGGCTCTATGTGGCTTTGTCTTGGACTCCCCGGGCCGTAGCAGCTTCTGTGCTGTGCCAGGTCGTGTTTGGAGTTGGCTTGCTTACCTTCTACCCCTCTTTGCTCAGTAGCCCTCTACCACTTGCAGAGGAAACGGGCTGTGGTCATTGAGGCTGCCAGGGCCAGAGAAAATGTAAAGAGCCTCCCTTTCCCTGCAGAAGCCTGACCTCAGTGGGAGCACTTTTGTTGGGATGCCTGCCTTTCTCTTAAGGACTCAAATCAGGGGAGTTGACATACCATTCATCTGCTGAGAAAAACCAGAAGGCTGGGAAATGGTATCTTTCTATTATTTGTGAGTCACAAATAATACAAAGTAAATGCTTATGAACCATATCACAAAAAAATACATTCTTTTTGGCTAGTTAGCTTGTTAAAACCACTTATTTGAGTTTAAGTTCCATTTACATCATGGACAGAGGAGCCAAAATAGAAAACAAGTTTTTGATGGAACCTCAGTTCTTTGTGGAGAGTCAGGGTTTCTAAGATGCTAGCTGTTGAATTCCCCAGTCAGAACTGCTCATCACGTAGGAGAGGGGCCAGAAACTTCTTGATTTGGAAACCCACCTATTTTGGATGTAAATGACTAACCAAGGAAAGGTAATGCTAGAGGTTTTTTTTGGGGGGGGAGGAGGACCAGCCCTGAGCTAACATCCAATGCCAATCCTCCTTTTTTTTTTTTTTTTTTTTTGCTGAGGAAGACTGGCTCTGGGCTAACATCCGTGCCCATCTTCCTCTACTTTATAATGGGATGCCGCCACAGCATGGCTTAACAAGCGGCGCATCGGTGCACGGCCAGGATCCGAACCGGCGAACCCAGGGCCGCTGCAGCGGAGCGCATGCACTTAACCGCTTGCGCCACCAGGCTGGCCCCTAGAGGTTTTTTTAAATAATCAAAATTTGGATTCATTTTTATTTTTACTCGCTTGAACTATAGTAACAGATGGGTTAGCTGGAGATCAGGAGAAGTTATTGAAAGTCTTGATTTTAAGAGATCGGAGAGTTATGTTTGCTCTCAAAACCCTAAAACCTTCTAGAGTTGTTGGTCTAAACAAAATTTTTGGATCATGTGAAACATGTAGACTTTGAGATTGCCCACACGCATCTTCTGTTGTGAATTTTTTAAAAAGCGCACCCTGTACTTGACGGTCTGTTGGGAAGATGGCAGCCACTCGTGGCAGTGTTGGCATGCAGCTTGAGTTCTTTAAGTACATGGACAACCCTAGAGCTAAAGTTCTTGTTTTACAATTTTATACTGATTCCCATAAGAAAATTAACTAATTGCAGTTTTCTTTTTGTCCCTTTGCACCTCTGTTTGCTGCTTTCTGTCTCTCTCTCTTTCACATCAGTCATCTGGGCTTGGCACTGACTCACGTCCCCTGTCCCCTGCATCAGCCCATCGTCCCCCTGCATCTCCCACAGAGCTCCCTAGGAGGTGTAAGGAGAATGACCACCAACCGCCAGGTTTCGAGCCATCCAAAGAAACTGTGCATGTGCACGGAGAGCCCCCCTTGGACTCTGAAGGCAAAGGGAAGCCATATTTAGGGGACCAAGATGTGGCCTTTAGCTACAAACAGCAACCTGGCAGAGGGACCACCCTGTTTTCCTTCTCCTTGCAGCTCCCTGAGTCATTCCCTTCTCTTCTAGATGACGATGGCTACCTCTCTTTTCCCAACCTGTCTGAAAGCAGCCTCCTCCCGCAGAGCTTGCAGCATTATCTCCCAATCCGCTCACCCTCCCTCTTGCCCTGTGTCCTCTTCATCTTTTTCTTCCTGCTCTCTGCCTCCTTCTCAGTGCCGTATGCCCTCACTCTCTCCTTCCCTCTGGCTATGTGCCTCTGCTACCTGGAGCCCAAGGCGGCCTCCTTGAGTGCCTCACTAGACAATGACCTGAGTGACAGTGCAGAGGAAGAGGTGTGTACCTCAGCACAGAACACACTTCCCTGTCGTGGTCGGGGCTTCGGTCCAAAACAGTGGTAGACGCTGCTGCGATAGTCGTCCTACTTTCAGAGCCTCATTTATTGTCTGTGCAAATACGTGAAGAGGTTTTTGTGTGTTGCGGAGTACGGCCAGCCCCAGGGTTAGGCACAACACCATGTGGATGGAGCAGTCTGAGCCCAGCCAGAATCGCTCTGCTACCCACTGAATTATCCGGGTTGTGAAGGACTCGGCCACAAGTCAATTTTAGATAACCTGTTAGCTATGTAAAAACTCAAGATTCAGTTATCATTTAATAAAGTAAATTACAGATAAGACAGATCAATAACTTTGGACTAGATGTATGTTCCTGATACAATCACGCACGGTGGTGATACACTCTGGGTAAACGATGCTTAAGGTGAGGTGGGAGAGGACACGCTGTAGGGATGCATCATCATCGTCTGGGTAGCTTTCCAAAATTGTAAATGCCTCTCCTCCCTGGAGATTCTGAAGTGTCCCCGCTGCTCTCTTCTACTGTCATTGCCAAACTGTCATTGTTACTCACAGAGGTGAGCCAGATCCTACGGGTGTGTTGGGTCAGAAAGACCGTTTGAGTAGTTGAAAACGCCCATGTGACGTCAGCCTTTGGTGGGGCAGAAACTGACCCAGAAAGAAGTGCAGTTGAGTGCAGCAAGTTTGAAACAGTCAGGAAAAGACTCACCTAAGGTTTCCACACGTTGTAAAAATGGGCTGAAATTTCATCAGTACTAGGAATGCCAAAGCATATATTGGGTGGCAGCGATTCTTTCAACTCTGGCCAAAGCCAAAAAACCCACACACACTGGACAGGCTGGTAAGGTCAGGGAAGATGGATGGGCCTCTGTGGATCTCAGCCAGGAAAGTGTTTAGTGTGGAAAGGACTTGAGCCTTCAGCCTCCATTTGTGAAGGCCTGCCGCCTGGCAGTCTCCTGTCCCTCATCTAAGCCATCGGGTGGGTTGACGTCGTAGCCAGGAGTTTTTCCTCTTAAGTGCTGTCCTTTCGCACCACTCGTATCTGTGCGAACAGCCCCAGCAGTTTCCCTTTTTATAGGCTTCACATAGACTGCAGGGAAAAAGAACAGAAGCTGCTGACGGAAGCACCCAGCTGTCACCTGCCCCACTGCTCTCACCTCCCCCAGCCCCTCTAGCTCTTCTGTTCCCACGAAACAAGGATTTTTGTGGCAGGAGACAAGCCCAGTACTCCTAGCATTTGGGAAAAAAATCACAAAGTCAAAGCAACATTAAGTAAAGAAAAGGAAGTCTGTTCAGTTCTGTGCTTAGCTAGAAGTCGTAATTTGAGCTGTATCTGTGAGTATGTAGCATTGTGAGGGTGTGTAAGGATCTATATTTGGTGGTATTATGACCATTTCTTTGCAGTAGAAGGAAAAATAATGGCAATGGTCTCAAAGATGTTTCAAATACAAGTTTAGGCTTTTTAATTTGGTATTGCATAAGAGCCCTTTTCAAGGATCTTGGGTCGTATATGACTTAGCTCCAACTATACACACACACACACACACACACACACACACAAATACATAAAACTATTTTCATACATAGAAAATATTTTAAGAGAAAACTACTTTAAATCCTAGGCTTCACTATTTCTCACCGTGGCAATATTATCAAATGGTGTAAGACTAAAACATACAACAGTTAAGAACACAATATTATCTAAAAAGACTATTTATAATATTAGCTGGTTTCCAACCTAGACATATATTTTTCCTTTAGCAATGGAGTTAGTCATCAAGCTAACATAAAGCAAAAAGATTGTCGTTTTATGCTGTTCTGAACACTAAACAACTGAACTTGTATGTAGCAAACCACACAGCTCTTGTGCCTAATCCGGGGTGCACCTCTTGTTGTAATCAGTGCATGAGAATTCATGTTATTCTTGGGCATGTCTGCATTACATTGGCAAAACAAATCACAGCAGTTACTTGTTGCAGCTGGTGGCAGTGGGACGGGAGCTGCCCAGTCCATGACTCCGTGTCATTGCAAACCCCTGAGACTGCACGCCAGTGCTGGCTGTGGCAGTCTTCGCAGCCTCCTCGCAGGCCTGTTCAGCCATGACAACTCTCCTGACAGGAGACTTCGCATTTGGCCATCTGTTCAATGTTGTCTATTAACCCCAAGTGTTAAGAGCTGTGCACTGTAGTTCATGCTGAGCTAGAGAACCCATATGTAGGTCATTCAGGTGAAAAAAATGCCATCTGTTTACTTGGCCTGTGTTATTCTCTAGGCCTCAAGCACTTTGGCAGCTAAACTGCGTGATTTCATAACATATAGTTCAGCTCTGTCACTTTTGTTTTGCAAAATCACTAATGACTGTAATTCTTTTTAAATATTTTATCATCACTACTTACATATTTTCCATGTGATATAGTGGCTTAATTAGTTCCAGCCTTTCTCAAGAGCAAAACCCAGTAACGAAAGGCTTAATCATTTCAAACTATAAAGCGGCTGGGCAATCACTTTTTTTTTCTCTTATAGTTTCAGAATGGTCAAATGAAAAGGGAGAATATCAAGAAACATAAGAAGAATTTAGCTCATTATACCAGAGAATGTAATTATGTGTCAAGTTTGTGAGGAATTTTCTATTAATACAAAAAAAAAGGAGATGGATTCAAATCTGGAGGAAAAAATTGATCACCTAATTTTAACATTTTAAATCGTATAAACATAGTTTTATATGATAGTTTATGATGTGCTATATGTTTTGCGGTTTTGTTTAGTCATAGTGTGTTATACAAATAACAGTTGCTATTAAAGCTGCTTTATTCAGCCTTTATTCCTTCATTTATTAACTATTTATTGACCAGGCACTATGTTTGTTGAATGACTGACTGACTAGGTGCTAAGTAGAAATTTGAGGGAGTTTGAATATGGCCTACGCTATTTCTTTGTGTATAGCTAGGAAAAATAGTAGTAATAATTATGGAATATTATATTGATATCAATACGTCACAACTATTATAGGCATTTTTAGCTGTGTGTGTGTCAGGCATTGTATAAAGCATTTAGTATCCATTACCTGATATAGTTAGGGCTATTATTTTTCCCATTTTACAAGAAGGAAGTTGGGATTAAATATAAAACGTGCTCAGTGTGTCACAGATTTACATAGCAGGATTTGAGCTCATGTCCGTCTGGCATCAGACCCCTCACTTGTAGCCACAGTGGTAATTTAACACCAAGGTGCTTGGAACGTTACTGAAGTAAATTTAAAGCCGTGACGGAGATAATCTATATAGGAGGATAAATACTTTCCTGAACTATTGAACTCTTTGCACAACTACTTAGCACACTGAGCACAGGTCATTCTTACTTGTTGTTAAAAGCTTCCAATTTCTGTAAGTTATTCTGTGTTCCTGACTTGAGCTGGCCTCTCCCTGGACTATCAGTGCGGAAGCCATGCTAATGCCATGGCAGTCCTCACCCTTCTAAGAAGACGAGTGGCCACCCCCAGGTGTTGCCAGGGTGGTCGGGTCATGAAAATATATCAGCACGCTTTCTTTACCAGCGTACTGAGAATTATTTTCCACTTAGGCATAGTAGCAAGGGTGCCAACATGGCCACCTCAAGCGTACACGCCAGGCATGAATTCTGATTCCTTTTCTTTTAGGAACATATGCAATGAAAGTTTCGCCAGTGCCGGGAAGCCCGCCTGGCCAGAGCTATGTTGCTGTGAGCACAAGTGCCCCAGTCGCCCCGTCTTGCTCCTCCTTGTCCTCCGGAGTGAAGGACTATTCTAAGAGGCAGAGTCGCAAGCTTACAGCCCCCAGTTTTGGTTTTTCTTTTCAAAATATTAATCACACATCTTTGCTCAGGGGAATTTTATTAATAATTAGTTGATATTTTTGGAGCAGACGTCAGCTAATATTATAGTAAGGCATTTAGATGTACCATTTTCAGTGGCTATGACTCTGCTCTACTCCGGAGAAAATAGTTTTTGTTTTAAATCATAAACCTCTATGAAACAGATTCAAAACTAGTCCTGAAATTACTATTGTGATTCTCTCTTAAAAACCTAGGCTTTGTCAAATGCTGTGCTTTGTTTTATTTGTTTCCAAGTAGATGTCTTTCTCTCTCTCTCTCTCTTTTTTTTTAGTTATTATTATTTGCTTCATTTGAATGGTTTTTTTGGAATGAGATATTTAAATACATACTTTGATATACCTCTTTATATTGGAAGGTGGGGCAAAATAAACAACATACACTCTTAAAAAATATCTAGTTAGCAATGCTACTTGAAAATCGAGTTACGTTTTTCATCTATAAAACATGTGCCTGTGAGTCACTGGCATGTGCTTTTTATGATTAATAAGCAAAGCAGACAGCCTGATGGTCATAGAGGGATATGGATTATCAAAATGGTATAAATGAGGGGCTGAAAGTCAAGTGATGGTTACAGTAGCTTTTTATTTAAATTTACATTTTAATTTACCTTTCAAATGTGACATATTACTAGATAAAAAACATAAACATCAATTTTATTTGCATTAACATTTTTAGGAGGTCTTTCTCAGGGATTTAGTTAAAAGGGGAGGAAAGAATGACAGTTTGGTTTTCCTGAGACATGACCCCACAGAAGTCAGCTTGGCTAACACAGTCCCTGCGGCTCCCGCAGGCCGTATGCCCTGGTCTCCCTCCCAGTGGCTCTGCTGCTGAAACCTAGCTCTGGCCTCTCTTTTGCTTTTGCTTGAACCTGCATTCTTGTGGGGAAGGTAATACGATACAGATCACAGAGAAAGAGAATGAGCTGTTGGACCTGTGCTGTACCCTATTTGACCAGATGGGTTTGTTTTCTATTCCTGCCTACCTTCTGGAACCTGATCACTTCTGTGATCAATAGACTGACAGTGAGCGCACAGACACTGCAGCTGACGGGGAAACCACCGCCACAGAGGTTAGTATCATAACTGAGGGTGGCTGGTAGTTGCCTAGCAAACATGCTTTGTGGGGGGCTCTGCATTTAGGAACTGCATATGCTTTTCTAGTGGAGATAAATTCTAACTGTAACAGTAGGAGTTACATATATTTAATTGCCTAGACCCGTGGGTCTCAAACTCGGGCCTGCATCAGAATGATCTAGAGGTCCCATCTGTATGTTTCTCATTCAGAAGAAGGTTTGGGGTGAGACTCAAGAATTTGCATTTCTTCCCCCCCCCCCCCCAAAGCCCCAGTAGATAGTTGTAGGTCATAGTTGCACATCCTTCTAGTTGCTGTATGTGGGATGCGGCCTCCTCATGGCCGGAGAAGCGGTGCGTCGGTGCGCGCCCGGGATCCGAACCCGGGCCGCCAGCAGCGGAGCGCACGCACCCAACCGGCCCAAGAATTTGCATTTCTAACAAGTTCCCAGGCACTGTTGACTTGGTCAATTTTGGAATCATATTTTGGTAACCCTTGACTAAACTGAAAATTATTTTTTTTAAAAAAAGTATTCCCTTATCCCAAATGAGAGACTATTTATGCTTGATAGCCATGATGAGTGGGGAGGAGGGTCACAATTAATTTAATTAGCTTATAGACTGGATACAGATATATTTTTAAATCCCAAATGGTCAAATAATACTTGTCAAAATTCTAATTCTTCCCTTAACTCATCTTCCTGGGCTGCACATAGCTTACATCACTCAAAAGAAATAAATTCTCTGGCCGGCCCAGTGGTGTAGCGGTTAAGTGCGCGCACTCTGCTTCAGTGTCCCAGGGTTTGCAGGCCCAGATCCCGGGCGCGGACTGACACACCACTTATCAAGCCATGCTGTGGCGACGTCCCATATAAAGTAGAGGAAGATGGGCACGGATGTTAGCCCAGGGCTAATCTTTCTCACCAAAAAAAAAAAAACCAGAATTGACTTCTCTAAGGAAGAGAAAATTAGCAAATTGCTGTTAGTAGTTTATTGAAAAAAACCATGATCACATTGAACAATGATAGGAGAGATACTATGCTATTATTTATCCTTTATTAATTCTTAAGAATACATTAAATGTGTGTATAGCTTATGTTCTTTTTCAAATCTTCTCTACCAGTAACTAATTAAAATTTCTGTAACAACAATATTTATCTATAGTAAGGGAAGTCAAGATGTTCATCTCCTAAAGTGCTAGCAGAATTTATTTTTTACTTTGTAATAGTATTTACTTTAGGTTGTTTTTTACATCATCCAATAATAACAATATTTTCTAGTTGGGTATTTAGGAAGAACTAAAAATGTTGTAAGTAGTATCTATACATCATTTAATTGAATATATCTTCAGAAAAACATTTCAAAATGGAGTTTTATTAAGTTTATTCCTTTGGAAATGCCAGAGTTCAGTTCAAAGCTTAGAAATCAGTTTTTTAAAGTTAAAAATAATATTGTAAAACTAGTCATGTGTCACTTAATGACAGGAATACATTCTAAGAAATGCGTCATTAGGTGACTTCATTGCTGTGTGAACATCATAGAGTTACTTACACAAACCTAGATGGAACAGCCTGCTACACACCTAGGCTCCACGGTACTAATCTTACGGGACGACCGTTGTATATGCAGTCCATCGTTGACCAAAAAGTTATGTGGTGCATGACTGTAGTATGCAGATTCTTTTAAGCAATTACATATAAATTTATTACAAGTTAATAATTTTTTATGCCAAGTATAACAAAATTACATCTTAATTTTGTAAGAATTAGTTACATGTAGCTACTTGTTAATACATTCAGTAAACTTCCTTGTAATCCTAATGTGTGCTATAAATGAAAAATATTTTAATAATAATACTTTACATTTTTATAGCAGTTTTAAATTATATATAACATTTGAAGCATGCAAATTCAAGTAACATAGGTAGATTGTGAAGCTTAAAAATAAAACGATGTGATGTGAACCCACCACCACTGAAGCATTAGCATCCGCCAGCACTGTTAGAATTATCTGTGTGTTCTCTGACACTTGTAAACGCTTTCCCTTCTCTTGTCTTGGGAGCCAGCACAAAGTAGTGCAGGGTGGGGCATGCTGGGCAGGTGGTCTTGTCCTCATGACAGATAAGGAAACTGAGACCCAGATAGACTAATTGATTTGCTTAAGGCCACTTGCTCACATGTCGCCCTCTTCTCACCTGTAATTGCACTCTGGACCTCCTCTTGTCCCGGGGCATAAGGCCAGCTCTGGGTCAGGGTGCCCGGGGTGAGGACCGCGGCTTCACTGCTGATGCTTGTGTGGCTTGGCCTAGTTACCTGGTGTTTGGTACTCGGATATGTACCAGCCCAAGGATTAGACAGGTCTTTCAAATTAGAAAAATAAGGGTAATGAAGTGGCTTTTAGATAAATTTGTTGTAGTTGTTAAAAACTCAAAAATTATCCTGTCTGTGTTTTAAAGAAATGATGTTAATGTTGATGGTAGTTGATTTCTTTGTTTTTTAACGTTTTTTTTTTTAAACTTTATCAGACTTCTCCCCAGCCAAATTTGTTTTTAAGTATATGGGTTCAAAAAAGTTTAAAATGTGGGAACCTCTGTGTTAAATTCTTTGAGCCACAGGGGCTGGCCTGGTGGCGTAGTGGTTAAGTTCGCATGCTCCACTTCGGCGGCCTGGGGTTCACAGGTTCAGATCCCGGGCACGGACCTGCACACTGCTTATCAAGCCACGCTGTGGCAGGTATCCCACATATAAAGTAGAGGAAGACGGGCACAGATGTTAGCCCAGGGCCAATCTTCCTCAGTAAAAAGAGGAGGACTGGCAACAGATGTTAGCTCAGGGCTAATCTTCCTCACCAAAAAAAAAAAAAAAAAAAAAATTCTTTGAGCCGCAGTTCTCTGGTCTACAAATTGGGGATAATAATAGCTAACCTCACAGGACTATTGTGAGGATTAATACTCTCTAAGGGAGCTCTCGTTATTGGGTAGTCATAGCCATTCTTGTGCATTTTAATTTTAATGTGATTTCCTATTCTTCTTGAATAATTTCTAATGTCCATTAACGACAGCCCTCTAAGCCCTAGCTGTCACCTCCCAAGCACGTGTGTGTGCTTGGTCACACTTGGAAGTCTCCGAGGCTCAAGTGCCAAGAACCCACTGAGCAAGGAGTCTTGTCCTCCTGTCTTCTTGTCAAGCTTCATAATTTGTGTGTGAGAATGTTGTGGTTTGTGTATAAGAAAGAAATGTCGTCCATCTGCAAGAGCAAACCAGTGCCCCACTTAGCAAGTCTGTATAGACCATAGTTCTTCAATCTTAGAGTCAATTGCATGGTAAGACTTTATTTCCCGCTCTTTCTTGATGCTGGCAGTCGGACCAAGAGGAAGATGCAGAGCTCAAGGCACAGGTAGAAAATTAAAAGTAAAACGAAAGCAAAACCCAGTGTGTGATAAGTCATTGTTCGTCTCCGGCGTTACATCTGCCAGCATGCTCTGTGGCCGGTTACCCCGTTGACGGTGCTGTGTGGAGGGGGGACCTTTGTTCCTGTGGCCGGTTACCATGGTGCTGGTGCAGTGTGGAGGATGGCGTTTGTTCTCGTGACTACCATGTCACTCACGTTTCCCTTTCTTTCCACTTTTTTCAGAATAGTCTGATTAAGCGAATAAAGGGTGAAAATGTGTATGTCAAACATAGTAATCTTATGTTAGAGGTTGGTATTGGTATATACCAGTGCATGTTTGTGTGTGTTGATTTTCTTTGAGTGACATACCTATGGGCTCGTACTATGATGCATGAACCATGCTCTCACCTGTGAATAAGTGGGGATGACTTCTTAGCTTACTGTGATTCCTTCCTCTCTCCTAGATATAGAACCCTTTTCTTGTGTGTGTATTTATTTTAATTCTCTCTGGTTACATGTGAATTTACACTTTTTACAATTTACCTTTTAAAACTCTTGATTTTTATGCTTGCGTGAACTAGATTTTTTTTTTCCTCAGAAATATCACATTTTCACCAGAGTGTTTGTGGTGGTGTCTTGAGCTCTGATCAAAATTCTTTTATTTTGATTACTAATGAGATTGATATTACTTTAAACAAAGAGAGAGAACAGGAAGGAAAACAAGTAAAATGTTGACTGTTGGGTTCTTTATGTTCTGAATATAGGAGCTAGATAAAACTCAAGATGACCTGATGAAACATCAGACCAATATTAGTGAGCTGAAAAGAACCTTTTTAGAAACCTCCACAGACACCACCGTGACGAATGAATGGGAAAAGAGGCTTTCCACCTCCCCCGTGCGACTGGCCGCCAGGCAGGAGGATGCGCCCATGATTGAGCCACTGGTCCCTGAAGAGGTTGGTATCCAGGCTTTGGGCTGCAGCTGTCTTCTGCTCCCTAGCCTCGCTTCTCTGCAGGCTCACCGCTGGGGGAAGGATTTGGCACGCTCTTGAGTAGAGGATCTCACCACTTGTCTGTGTATAACCTGAACTAATGTCCTCAGTGCTCCAAGGAAGGGCTATAGAGTCAAGTGATGAAGTGGCTGAGGGGTGTATAATCGCCTCTGGTGGTGCTTAGTGTGAACAGGTAGCCACGGGGAAGCTGTGGTGCCAATCTGCTTATTCTAGCTGGAAACATAGATTTCACATCTGGGAGAAATGGAGATACTATCTTAATGAACTGACACTTTTTCTGAATATATTTCTGCTGCTGCATTAATGTGACTACCATGTATTTCTCATCAATTGCAAGATGAGGCTTATTGAGATAGTCTCCTGAGTATTTCTGAAAGCTCCTGAGTATTTCTCATCAATTGCAAGATGAGGCTTATTGAGATAGTCTAATATTTGACTAAATGGTGACCTGAACTTGATAGCATTTCAAGACCTGTTTTACTCTGGAAATACTACACCAGGCTGTTACTGGTATAATCAGTGTTTGATTTTTATTTATAACTGTTTTTTTAAAATATATGACTGGTTATTTTAACTGATTTATAATCAGTTGTTATTTGATTTTTAATAGGGAAGGTAGAGGCCAGAATGTCTTTCTACGAGTCTACCGTATAGGAGAGCTCTCTGTACATGCTCAGCCAGAGGACGAGGGTCCAGCTGGGGTTCCTTCAGGCCCCCACCAGTGACAGTGGTGCTAATATGACTGTGGGCTATTAGACATCATCTTGCTCTGTCTTTCAAAAGAAGTAGTTTTTTAAAACTCCGTCTTCCTAGCATCATATTGATTAACTTCTTTCTTATCAAGACTCCTTTATTGTAAGATATTGGTCCAGAAAACAAGTACAGAAGAAAATTAAAACTTAAGCCTTTATGGGAGAAAAATCCTTAAAATAGTAGTCAATATACAATGCTTATGTCCTTGCAGTAAGGATAATAATAGAATTACACTCATTTTGATCATTTTCTAAACATCCTGTGAAAGCTGTGTATCAAAAATGACCACAAGCACTATGGTCATGAGAACTCCAATCCCAACTAAAAAGTGACAAGGTTTATGTCCATTTGAATTACTTTGAAAAGGGCCTTTTTATGCAGAATAAAAGAAAAGTGCTGTTACTAAAGTATTCCTGTACCATTAGACACCAGTTTCATTCAGATTACTTGAGCTTCAAGAGACAGAAGTTTCACATTCAGATTGATTTAAATATTGTAGTCCCTGCATTATTAAGAATACCACTTTTAGTTATGATTGCATAAATTTTATTGTAATTGGTCAGGTTTGGCTTTTTCTGTTTCTACTGTCTCTGTTGGAAATAATAAAGACCATTCTGGCCCTGAAGATGGCAGATACTGGATTAAGTCACAAAAACACTCAATAGCCACCAAAAACAAAATAAACCGCAAAAGCCAAGCCTCTCCTGCCAGGCTGTTACTCAGGGCAGTGGCAGGCACAGCCACTCTGAGTGGACGTTCGGGTAGAAGCTTAGAGAAGTTAAAGGGTGATGGTTAATAAACAAGGGACTTTAAAAGTCTAGGCCATTAGACTGGTAAAAAAATTTTCTTCACTCATTAAATCCTCTGATTCTTAGAGAATGACATTGCTGAACCCAGAGAACACGAATCCCCTGAAGGGCTGATACTCTGAATGTACTGAACTTGCCCTGGATGTCAGTGCCTTTTCTGTGTTAGTGCACAGAAACCGCAGTGAGCCCAAGAAAGGATTTTTTTTTTAAATGATTAAAGGATGGAAACCTGTCTTCTGCAGAAGAGCAGAGCAGTTTGGTTATTTAGACTGGAGAAGACCAAAGGCTGGCTTAGTAACTGCTTTCAAGTATCTTCTGAGTTGTGATGCAGAGGCCGTGCCTCAGTGCTCCACCACTGCCACGAAGAGAGGAAATTGTAGAAAGATTTGGTTAGATGTAAAGAAGACCTTCATAAAAACAAGGCTGATTAACCCTGGTTATCAGAGGCACTCTGGAAAAGCATCTCTGAGGAGCGGCAAGTCCCAGAGGAAGAGCGGTCTCTTTGGGGCAGTTAGAGCTCCGTGCGCTTTCCTCGGCCTTGGGGCTCCCTCCCGACCCTCCTCTAGGACCCTTGATGACATCCAAGTTTATACTCCTTTGGAGGGCCCTGGAGAGAGCCCTAAGGACAACCCAGAAAGTTCTGCTGTGAATTCTTGCCAATTTCTGTATTTTGTTATTTGTTTTGTGGAAAGCACAAAAGATAAATGTTATCCTGCCAGCTAGGTACATACAAAGCATATCTGTCTACGAACACTTAACTAAAAGATTTTTATCAGCAGGGAGTTATTTTTCTAAGTAAATAACTAAAGATATCATCCTATTATTTAATATGTTCCACTTTAAATCAATTAAAACAGTAATGGGCCAGTTTAGAAAGAAGTACAATTATTTCTAAAAGGAAATGTTTAATTTAACTTAATTCAAAAAGTGACATCCCAAATAAAGTAATACTGTTTGAGTCAGAATGGTGAAGAAACTTCAGTTCAGTGACCCCCAGCTTAGTTGGATTTTTTTTGGTAATCTCAGTGATTGTTTTTAAAAACAATCCTTCATAGCATTCCTTCGTAGTTACTTGAATACTAAAAGTTTCCAAATCCCAACCAAAATGGAATACTCCTCAGCACTCATGCAGTGCCAAGACCATCCTCTTGTTTAACATAGCTGGTAGTTTTATCGGTATATAAGCTTAGTGCAATTGATCCTCCTTATTCGCAGATTCCATATTTGCAAATTTATTGTAACCCTAAGATCAGTATTCACAGAACTTATGTGGTCATTCACCAACAGGTGTGGAGTGGTGAAAGATTTAAGTTGCTCGGTGCACACATCCCCGGCTGAGGTTGAACAGGCAGTACTCCATCTACTTGTTTCAGCTCTCATCCTATAAAGAAGTGTCCTTTTTACAGCCTATTTAGTGCCAGATTTTTGCTCTTTTGTGTTTTTGTTGGTGATTGTGCTGTTGCAGATGACCCCAGAGCATAGTGCTGAGGTGCTGTCCAGTGCTCCTAAGCACAAGGAGGCTGTGGTGTGCCTTATGGGCAACACGTGTGTTAGATGAGCTTCCTTCAGGAATAAGGTACCATGCTCTTGGCTGTGAGTTCAATGTTAATGGATAAAAAAATACGTATTTAGAAAGGAGTCTTTAAAGAGAAACACATATAAAACAAGGTTATGTGTTGATCAGTTGATGAAAATACCCTGACCAGAGGGTCCCAGGAACCTAACCCTGCATTTGCCCTATAGGAGCAGGGGTTCAGTGTTCACAGCATCTTGACAGAACGGAGCTGCCGTGGCGGACTAGAATCGACTCTGCGTGTTTGTCTGCTTTCTTGTCCAGCTTTACTTTTGCTATTCAGGCCTTGGATGGGCCTCAAACTGGGCAAAACATTCATTCACCGTGGATCATCTGTTTATGGAGAGAGAGAATTATCTCCATGCTCGGAATCTGACGTCTGTGACTTTCCATCCAGGCCTAGGGGGCAACTCGAGGTGCATGTTAAAGTAATCACCTGTGGGAAATTTTTACAATACTGACACTGGATTCTGCGTCAGAGTCTGATTCAGTTAGTCATGGGTACACTCTGTGAATCACCATGGTTTAAAAGTTCTCCACAAACGCTAATGCACAGCCCTGACCCAGGCAGACTTGAGTCAGCTCTGTAGAAACCCTTGATCACCCGAGAGTGAGGAACACCTCTGAGAATTTTTATGCCAGAGTAGGGCATTGTTTCCCAATTATGATATAGAGATGAATGTTTAGTAACTAAACAAAATGGTTGGGGTATACATTTGACTCTATTCTAACACATATTGAAAGCCAGTGTTTTCGATTATCAGCTTTTCTTGATCAATACCTCTTCACTTCTCTTTGGCTGAACTAACTGGGTAGGGGTTGACCAGAGATAGGATTTAATTTTACAATCTACCCCCTTAGGTGACCCTTTTCTGTTATGGACATACACAGTTCTGAATGCATATGGTGTTGATGTTTTCAGTTACTGACACAGATGTTTTTGAAATTAGTTGATGTCAGATAACAGGAGATGCTGAAAAGCACTGTTTTCCTGCTGTGATTGTTTTTTAAGCTTTCTTCTTAGGAAAAATATTTAGTTCAGTGATTAATATAATTAGAGGCCTAACAGTGGTAATCTGAAAACTACCTACAATTTTGACCTTTCCTTCTTGTTTCTTATTTCTGTTTGAAAAAGAGGCTACAATTGAGAGTAAGAAAAAAACAAACAAAAATCCACATTGAATGATTCCACATGGTGCGTTTTATCTCTTCCAGCACCTTTCTCCAAAACGAGGCGGGACAGGGGGTTTTTTCCCTTCAAAAGTGTCTTACTTGTTCCTCATTAAAAAGGAGCATATAAGAACAGTGGTGTCAAAATCTATCAGTAGGTCCTTCAGGAGAACATTCCAGATGCTCCCCTACAACTCCTTACAGGAAAACGATTGAAAGTGGTACTGATAGATTGTAGACACACAGGAATTTTAAATAGATCTCATAAAATTATATTGTTTACAATAGGATTTATTTTAAAATTTCATTCTTATAGAAACTTTGAACTTTCTGTTACTATTTTTTAGATTAATTTTCCCAGCTGTCCTTTTTGTCACAACCCTGTGGAGTTGTACGCTGTGCACAGAGACGGGTTCGGTAGCTAATGTGTTGCCACTTGAATTATGCTTATTTAATAGTAAAGAAAGGAATAAAAAGTAGGTAAAAGGGAAAAACTAGTTCTGACATGATATATTTAATGTTTCTTTCTTAATTTTATATATTAAAGAAAAACAATGTGAAATAATTTTTCGCCAAGGTATTTTGAAATTACTTTAAAATTATCCATCATGTTATAAAATTTCAAATAAACTTATAATCTTGATTATATTTTTTATTTATTTGGGGAACAGTAAAGAAGTCTATCTGGGCATAATGGGGTTGATTCAAATTTACAGCTAATGCTGTGACCCCCCGTGCGTTTCCTTACTCTATATCAAGCAGCCCCTAAATGGGGAATATTCAAGTATTTGTCAGAAACAGAAGTGAGAATTTAGTTCTAACTTAATTTTTTTTAATGTGAACATTTACTTTTAACACTGACTTTGGTGATGTGGGTGACAGACGCGGGGACGCTGCTCCGGTGCCACGAGCACTTTCCCTTGCTCCTGCGTGTTCTGTGTTTGCAGGATGAGAAGGGTTTGAGTCATACAAATACGAGTTTCAGAAGGTAATCCGTTACGCTTTGGAAATAATTATGAAACTTTGAGATGGTTTCAGACCATTTTTCAAATTGATAAACAGTAATTTACTTCTTCAGAAAAAAAAGAATGACTATTACATGTATAGCACAATAAAAGAACTCTCTTCCTAACTTGCCTTTTTGGAAACTGTCTGCTTCCTTTCTCCAACCCAACCCCCTTTATTCAAACAGACCAAAGAAGAAAGAGAGATTTCTAAAAAAGTTATATTTTTGCAGCAAGGAAGCTCTCCATTCCCTGAGTCTCAGGTAAAAAACAAACATATAGGAATTTTCCGAAAGAGAATTGCTCTTCAGATTTCAGTGTCATTAAAATGTCTTTAGTTTTATTTTTCTTTTAAAATTTAAACCTTGTTTAAAACTAAGGTAGGTGTATCATTTTTGCTTAGATTCTGGGGAGGGGAATTCGGAATTTTTTTTACTATTTTAGTTATCAGCTAGCATTTCTTTATGGCTTTTGCTCCCAGGTGATTATATCTGTGTGTGGTCATTGAAGCATTATGATTATGCTTTCTAATAATATTATTGGGACTTTTCGCTATCTGTTTTACCCATAGAGTAGTTTAGATGACCTTGACTGATTTTGAAAGTTGTGAACTGTTATTGGTTTCCCACTAGCTGAGTGTGATAAAGAAAATGTAGGAGGGGGACTCCGCGGGCTCTCTGGTTACCTCTCGTCATATCATTTTCCAGAAAACTGTCCCATCGGCCCTAGAGGTTATTTTTCAATTCGTTTCATTTAATCCAGCACCAGCATGTAGATTAATCTACAGACACATATTTCTAGATTCGAGTTTTCAGGCCACGATAAATATGAAAGTAGAAAACATCCTGGATTAAAGTGTACACCAGAGTGCCCGTCTGCCCTGGCTAGCTTCTCCTCCCTCTGTAGCCTGTGAGACTCGTCAGCTGCCTTGTCACATCCTAAGAGGCTTCTCAATACAAAAGTTTCTTAACTTTCATTTCTTCTGCCTTATTGGAACTAACACTAAGGAAACTACTCAGATGATGCACTTCAGCTACCGATGATACTGAAGCACTGTACAGACCACTATGGCCTATTTATGACAGGCTCCCACAGTGTCCCAATGGTGGGAAATATTTCATTACAATGCCTTGAACTCAGGCACACTCAATATTTATTGGATAATAAGTGCCATAGTGGATTTGATCTCCTGTATAAGAAAATATCATTCACAACATGGAAAATGTATTCACAGAAATTTGTGGAATGCTGGCAGGTTCTCTGTGAGAACAGCAGATATGAAGCACAGTGTTGTTTCATCTGGAAAACTGTCTTTTTGTGTCCACATAAGTAAAGCTAAATAACTGGTACAACAACTTCAACAATGTTATTTAATGTTGAAATATAAAATGATCAGACATTTAGCATAAGATCAGTTATTTTTCTTGTAAAATTTACCACGAAAGCATGTTCTCTTTTAAAGAAACCTAAAATTGCAGCTGTGCATGCAGACTGTATTTCAAGTTGAAGGTTAAGGTTTATAAATTTCAGATGAGAAGAGATTGCAGTCATGATTATGAGATAAGGACACCAGCCCTGCACAGGCACATCACAGACCTGCATGCAGCTCTCACCCTGAGTTTCTTACAGGATTCTTATTTTAGAAATGAGATACCATCAGAATTTCTAATTTAGCTTTTATATTTTGAATATAGGGTACAGAGGATTGGGTTATTGTAGACAAAATACCCACTGAGGTAGTTGATGGTGATTCGAAAAAGATTGTGACTCTCAAGGTGGTGACTGTGAGCAGTACAACTGGTGACATCCCCGCGGACATGCTAAGATCTGGTGCCATTGACATGCAGAGCTTCTACAACTTGGCCCAAGAAGTGCAATTGAAAGAAGAAAGCAAACAGAAAATATACACTCTAGGAAAATCCTATGACACTGTGTCTGGAAAAATTGTTACTATGACTGGAAAAGCTGGTGAGAAGGTAGTGCAGCCCTCCACTCTTGACGGTCTTCAGAAAATGGAGAGAGGATTTTCCGAGTCAGTGAAGACCATCCCTGTCATGGCAGAGTATGAGGTCCTGGAAGCCATTGCTGATGAGAAATCCGAGAGAGGACCTGAGGTCCATACTCCAAAGCGAAAATTGTCAGAATCCTTGTCTCCCATCAAGGAAGCTGAGTCTCGAAGGCAGAGTCCTGAAGAAGACCTTGGGAGAGCTCAGGTGCTGGGCGGGGATGCGGCTCTCCACGCTGGCCTGGGGAGCGTGTGGTTCAGCAAAGGGGAGCAAGCACCGGAGAGTGAGGCCTTAAAAGTGGGCCTCTTTGGTCCCAGAAGGAAGAGCCTGTCTGAATGGAGATATTCCCAGGAACCGGCTGTCACCATTGCTGCTGCTCATTATGTTACCGAGTCGGCAGCACCCCGAGACCCGGTAACCGGTGCCTTTCGTTCGGGCCACCGTTCCAGATTCCAGCATGACGTGCTTGAGGCAGCGCCCTCCCGCCCGAGCCTCTGTTTCTCTTGCTGCTTGGCTTTATGTTGAGAGCAGCCAACCCAAGCTTTTTAATTTTTTTTGTGGTTAAATCAATACTGCAGTGCGATGTAAGCGTTAAAACACTTTCCATTTTGTTTCCAGCTCCCTGTCTCGAGATATGGTAGTGCTGCTGTGGCTTGCAATGAAGGGAGAAAGTGATCTGCCTAAACCAGCATTGCCCTAATCCTAATAACTCTGCTTTACCAAACCAGAGCTCACGGTCACCTCAGTTTGCTATTTTATTTCCCATTCTTTTCTGTTTCCAAATTCTGTATCCAATCTAGATTCCTTCATCCTCCCTCCCTCTTCCTCTGCCTAGAGTTTTGTCTAATCAGCTGTAAATGTATGTACCTGTCTGTGTACCTGTCTCTGTGGTTGACTCTCCATTTCTTTGTTCACTCAGACTAAACAGTCTTCTGGTGAAAAGCTCATGGATGGCTCTGAAATCTTCAGTTTATTAGAGTCTGCAAGAAAACCAACAGAATTCATAGGAGGGGTTACTTCTGCTCCTCAGAGCTGGGTTCAGGTGGCCATTTGCTTGCATCCTTGGTGTTCCTGACTCTGCCTGTTGCCTTTCTTTATGCCTTTTTGGTGTGTGTGTGTGTGTATGTGTGTGTGTTTTGCACCCAGGTGGCTTTGCCTTACACACCTCACAGGTGTGTATTTTCCTTTGAGCCTGCTTGCCTTCAGTTCCATTTCAGGAATATTCAAAAGGCAATCATGTTGAGAAATTTTAACAGCATGTAATTGTTTTAAGTATTTTATGTCACCTGTTAGGTCTGAGCAAGCAGCCAAAACCAGCGTGAACGTGCTGCAGTGCTTTCGTGTTTTGTCTTTCGATTGTGCTTTATACTGCTGTCTGTTTCCTTTGCGGATGTCCTGAAGTAGCAGCCCAGGCTCGAATGTGTGTGCCAGGGCAGGGGCAGGTACCACGCAGCCTGGTGGGAGGAGTGAAGGCTGGTTTATATTTTCTGTAAGTGTTTCTGGTTATAAGCACTTGACACTGGCTTTAGGCATCCTGGTGAGTGGCTTCTTTTGTTTTTTTATTTTTTGACCTCTGGTTTATAGAGAGTCACACTGACCCACAGTCTTTTCCCATCCAGAAAACAGAAACCAAGACGGAGTCCACCGAAACAACCCAGCACCCGCACCCACTGGGCCCTGAGAAGATTGTGCAGGAAACCGCGCTGGTGGAGGAAAGACACGTGCAGCATGTGCACGCGAGCGGGGATGCCTCTCACGTGGCTGCAGATGACGGGGATGCCGCAGCCCAGGCAGCATCTGCTGATGCTTTTAGCGCTAAAGGGAAGGACGGTTCTGCTCTGACTGAGGAGGCTAACGAGGAAAAAGGAGAGGTGGCCGATCAAGCTGTCCTCAAACCAGAAGAGATGGCCACTGCTTCCCATGAGCCAGAGGAGGAGCAGGGTGCGGCAATCCACATCTCTGAAACTTTGGAACAAAAACCTCATTTTGAGGTAACTAGCACTGTTACTTTTAGCACTAACGGAACACTTCCCCAGGAGCCCTTGCCGCTGAGTTCAGCATCCAGAGGGAGCCCCATTGAGTGCTCTGCCTTCTCCCGGTGCAGTGTGTTTCCCTCATGTTTCCTTTCACAAGGCGAGCACAGCTCTCCAGGTGGTTTCCATCTGTGGGGTCACATGCAGACATATAGAATGATTATTAATAACGTGTAGTTCCAGAAAGTGGTTTCTACTCTCATAACTATTGTAATTGGCAGTAAACCTGGGGAATGCATGGCCAGCCAAGATATTAGAAAATCTGATAAATTATTTCTACTCAGTGTAGTTTTCCAGAAGGACAAGAAACCATACTTGCCCAGGTAACAGATGCCAGAACTTCATTCTTTATCCTCTTTTATTGAGTTTCTTGAAGTATATGAGAGGTTAATGTCTTATTACTTGTTCCTTCTTTCCAAGAAGTTATTTAATAAAAGGCTAATTTGGGGCCGGCCCAGTGGCGCAAGCGGTTAAGTGTGTGCACTCTGCTGCGGCGGCCCAGGGTTCGCCAATTCGGATCCCAGGCGCGCACCGATGCACCGCTTGGCAAGCCATGCTGTGGTGGCGTCCCATATAAAGTGGAGGAAGATGGGCACGGATGTTAGCCCAGGGCCAGTCTTGCTCAGCAAAAAGAGGGGGATTGGCAGATGTTAGCTCAGGGCCGATCTTCCTCACAAAAAAAAAAAAGGCTAATTTATGATTTTTAAACTAAGATTAGTTTACGAGATAGAGGAGGGGGAATGTAAAATAGGTTTTTATTTTCTTCAAAATATTTTCCTTTACCTGGAACATTCCATATAACAACGGCTATGGAATTCTGAGAGACTGTTAGACATCTGTCTGTTGTGTGCTGCATTCCTCAGCTTACCCCCCGCCGTGTTGTATGTCAACATTGATTTCATACTAATCTGTGCTTATTTATATCCACCAAGAGGGGCGGAAAAAATCAATGTGTTTGTACAAACTCTCATAGCCCCTCTACTTACCTCCCCTAGGTACAGCCATCGGCTCTGAAGACAGAAACCATCAGTTTTGGCAGTGTTTTACCAGGAGGAGTAAAGCTTGAAATTTCTACCAAGGAAGTACCAGTAGTTCACACAGAAACGAAAACCATAACGTATGAATCCTCACAGGTAAGACAGTGTGTGGAGACCAAGGCCCCGGCCCCGTGTTTACCCACTTTAATGACTTAGCACATTCAAGTGTGGCGGCCTGAGGTTCGTGGCCTCAAGAGGACCAGCAGCTGGCGGTCTCTCCACAGCAGAGCAGTAACTGCCACTGCACGGCTCATCACGGAGCAGCCGGCGGCTCAAGCAGGTCTGCATATGTCTCAAAACATAGAAAAAGGCCCAGAAACTTCTTTCCCTAGCTGAAGATAAGGAAAAACATCAGCTCAACCAGCCACTGCTCACATTGCTGAAGTCCTAGTTGTTTAATGACGGTTACCTCTGGCCGTGTGTGGTTCCGTCTTGCTCACAGCAGCAGCCCCAGAGCCTGACGGAACAGCGTAGTGATGGTGAAAGATGACGGAACCATGGAAGTGCCCTGAGCTAACGTAGTCAGCGTCTGAAGGGTAGTGCAAATACTTGAGTGTGGTGTCTGTTCCTCTGCTCGCTTAGGTTGATCCTGGGGCTGATTTGGAGCCGGGTGTGCTGATGAGCGCACAGACGATCACATCTGAAACTACCAGCACCACGACCACCACGCACATCACCAAAGTAAGTGGAGTGGGGACGGAGACAGTGAGGCACTCCTTCAGAATGTCTTCCACAGTGGGCTGTGCAAGCCAACTGTTACAGGAACGTCAGGATACCAGGAGAGCTGCGTCAGAGCTGCCACAGCTACTGTGGTTATGGTGCATTTGTCCTCATGTGCTGGTTTCTGTTTAGGAATACACATTCCACATTCCAATATCCTTTACTTAACACTTAATTCCAGGAGTTGGCATGTAGTAGGTGTTCCAGAAACACTGGCCAGCCAAACCCAAAGGACTCCATTCTGTCGTCGCTTCTGAGATTAACAGTCTTACATAACTGCCATAGAATTCTGTTTCAATTCTTAAAGAATGAATGATGTTACTTAAAACTCAGTCAGCATGTTCTGCCATTTTGCCCACTGAACAAGGACTGTTCGTCCAAGTGGGTAGGTTCGTGACACTTGTCTGTTCTTTCAGACTGTGAAAGGGGGCATTTCAGAGACAAGGATTGAGAAGCGCATAGTCATCACAGGAGATGCGGACATTGACCATGACCAGGTAGTGTATATGAGATGGCAAATTCTCTGGCAGAGAAACAGAGAAACACTAGTTGGCCCTACTCTTCCCAATGCTATTCTGCTAGTCCAGCATGTAGTCTAAACAGCTTTCTGAATTAGCTTTCCAGTAGACAATGTATGATTCCTTTTGCAATCATTGTACCTCGTTTGTAAATTGTGTATGTAGATCTAGTTCATAAGTTTCCTCCTTGCTACTGATCATGCACGTTCCACCTCCTTTTTGTCTTTGCCCTTCTGTGATTTCCTGGGGATAGGCTCTGGCTCAGGCAATTAAAGAGGCCAAAGAGCAGCACCCTGACATGTCAGTGACCAAAGTGGTGGTCCATAAAGAGACAGAGATCACCCCAGAAGATGGAGAGGACTGAACCCAGGTAAGAGGTGATGCGGGTTCTCTAGGCTTGGCTGGTAGGTGGCATGGGGTACTTGCCTCTCCTCCTTCACCTGACTCCTCTCTTTTCTTTTTGCTCTCACTGGCATTTGCAGGGCTAGTTACCCAAGAGGATTGGGGAATTGGTTTGTGGGTGCTGGTTTGTTTCAAATTTGGAGGTTCCATTCTGTGGACTTTTTGCATACACTGTGCCGATTAGAGGATAAAGAGAAAGCAGAGTCTTTGCTTGCGTGGCTTCACTGATGTGCCCTTTTATTTAACCCATGCCCTGTACACATAGCAAATTTGATTTCACTTGCCATGTGGCCTAATCAAAACTAAGGCAGTTTTGTTCTGAGAGGTGCAATTTGTGTGTTCCAAATAGTAGGGAAATAAAGTCAAGTAGACTGCTTTCTCCCTTTGATGACAACGTTGTCTCGTTGTAAGCTTTCTCTTGAAGTATCCTTGGTTATAGCCTGTTTATGCTTTTGTTTTGCTTTGTTTTTTTAATTTGAAACCTGAGCACTCACTTTCATTTTGGATGTCTTATATTTTCTGCATTCTTTGGGATGATTTTTTTCCCCTTAGTGTAGCATTGTGTCTCAGGAGGAGGCAAAAATGCAGTCCTGTGGTCCTGCTTTTCTCCAGAAAGCGCGTGCCTTTCCAGCTGCTGCTTGGCCAGCGTCACGAGCAGACAGCATGTTCTGTGTATGCACAGACTTGCCGTGCACACTGACCTGCCATGCAAGAGCACGGCGGGCCCTGAGCATCCCTAGAGGACTTTGAGTGCAGAATGCAACAGTCAAGCTACCTGCACACTTGATTCTGTGATGAAAGTCTCTTAAACACTTTGCATGTATAAATGAAATTAGTGAGTTCTCTAACATTGATTTAAGAACTATAGATTGATGAGTTGCCTCTCTTACAGAAAAAAATATGAAAATAACTTACTATATTCAAATTAATAATGTAAGTTGGAAGATAGAAAGCAAAAAAAGATTTCCTTCTGTGAGCTTCAGCCACCTGGGTGATGCTGTAGGTATTTAATAGAACATGTACCAGTGACTTACACTCATATTTTATGGTTATCTTGTCAAAAAGAGCATTTAATAACCTGCAAGATACTTTTTTATGACCTTGATCTGAGGAATACTCGCAGGTGTTTTCAAATGAGTAACTGATCAAATCTCTTTTCTACAGGAATAGCTCAGCCTGCACACGAATCCAGGCATGCCACCCACTAGGAGAGCCAGAGCCTCTGTGGACTCCTCCTCGAACCCAGCTGACTTGCATCTGCCGGTGGGAGATTTCCATCCAGAAGAACTGACCTTGCCCCTAAATAAAGACACTGGCAGATCTTCCCTTATAACACAATCCGAGTCAGCATCACTAAACTGATACTGCATGAAGCAATGATACAATTACAAAAGAGCAGCATTTTTAATTTTCACAAAATGTCTAAGTTTTCAGCTACACCTGCACGTTCATAACTGACAATATACGCCGTGATCTCACATAACATAAACAGTTCATGCCTTCCGTAGCTCAGTACTATTCAAGTCTAAACCAAACTGCAGTTTCTTGGGTGACAGCTCTTTTGTTTACAGATCAATGAAGGTTACCCTGAAATGCTAGAAGCTGTCTAGGTCCAGTGTGTCAGGTTTATTCCAGATTAGATGTGCCAATAACCGAGTCAATTCAGTAAACAACTTGAATATTGTCTTTGTTTTGTCTGGGTTTGCTACTCTCACCCATGAACAGTGATGACTCTCTGATCCTCTGGAAATATTTAATGCTTACAATCCTGTTTTGTGTATCTAATTTAATTCATTATAAGGTAGTACTGATTTTACCATAAAGATGTGATTTTTTCCTTGTCCACTTCGGTCTGCGTTCAATCTGAAAAGCTTTCCAGAGTTTCCTAACAAGTCCTAAATATGTAAATTGTCATTATTTTGGGAAGAAAACCTGTATTTTTGTTAGTTTACCATATTATGAAATTTCACTCCAGAAAAACCTGTTGGGATTTTTTTTTTCTCTCTCTTCATTTCTTCTTCCTTGTATTTTTAAATTGATTTTTCTTCTTTTACTTGAAAAAGATTTTATTTCCAAAATCTGGTCCATATTTACAATCTAGTGCAGAGCCAAGCCTTAAACTGTACAGAATTTCCACTGTAATTAAACTATTTAGTGTTTAGTTATAAATAGCCTTCAGAAAGATATATTCTCCATTACACTGTCAACTGCATCACACAGCCCGTGGTGAATGTACGTTTCTGCGTAGCGAAATAAAAATGGCAAATGCATTTAAACCTCTAATTCTCCGTGTGCAGTCATTTCAGTGTTGTGTGTATTTAGCCAGAGGTAACATTTGCATGACATCGAAGGTCTCGTCCCTCTGCACTGTACAGACAGCCGTCTTTTTACAGGTGAGAAGGCCTACGTGGCGATTCAGGGGACGCACCCTTTAAGGTATGGAGATGGGAACAAAATACATACATATAAATGTTTGATTGCCTATGAAGGTCTTGAAAAGTACAACTAATTATCAAAGAGAATCTCATTTTCAAAGTTTTGATTTTTTTTTTTTATGAGAAAAGAGGCTCTGCTATAAAACCAGTGTTTCTGGGTGCTTTTAATCTACCAAAGAAACACTTGTCTCACACATCAGCTCCATAGCTGAACGGATTCCCCGCTGCGCTCTACAGAGGCGTGCAGAGTGGTCCTGCAGCTCCTCCCCATCAAACTCCTTGCGTGCCAGGGACTGAGAATAAGATTTTTTGTTACCAACTGCCAACCTAACACCAACACCTAAATGTACTTGCTGGCATTTCCTACCATGTCATGCTTTATCTAACTTTCCAATTTTTTTTAACAACCTCTAATTTTTAGAAAATTTTTTTCAGAAAATTGTTAGATTTGACCACATATCTTGATGTTATTAAGAGTCTAATTATCATTTTTCTCTCGAGTTATCAGCTTGTCCTTACTAGAAATACTAAGTGTTAATTTTAGAAACTGAAGCATCATTTTAATTATATTTGAAGCCAATGAAAAAATGTATTGAGAAAAATTAATACTTTATTGATACAAAAATGGTAAGTGGCCTCCCAAGGATGCCCGCACCCAGTGTGCTCAGTTTGTGTCCATCAAGTTGTAACTGTGTTCTCTGTTTTAAACCAGACCTAATGTTTCATGTATCTCTGTCCTCAGCGATAAGTGCCCATTCATTTTTATAAAATTATACATCATCAGGGAAGTTATATATTTTCAGCCTTTTCCTTCTATTACGTTCCTCAAAAATTTTCCACCCTCTACCCATTGCTGTGTGGGAGTTCCAAAGCCACCTCTACATGTTCGAGTATTTGTGACAGCAGTGCCCCACTTCTAGTACCAAAATCTGTATCTGCTTTTTATTGCTGCATAACAAATTACCACAAAATTAGCAGCATAAAACAATACACATATATTGTCTCTCAGTTTCTGTAGGTCAGAAACTGAGTCTGCCATGGTTTTACTGTGTCCTCTATAAGGCTGCAATCAGTGAGGGCTGGGGTCTCATCTGGAGGCTTGACTGGGGAAAGATCCACTTTCAAGCTTGGTTCAGTTGTTTGCAAAATTCATTTTCCTGTGCTGCTTGTGTACTTTCTGCTGCTGCTTCAAAGCCAGTAAGGGAGGGAGACCCTAGAGCATGTCTACTAGCAAGGCAGAGTCTTATGTAACATAACAGTCAAGGGTGCAGCTTCCCATCACCTTTGCCATATTCTATTGATTAGAAGCAAGTCAATGGATTTTGTTCACAGCATCAACAAATTTAAAATTTGGTTTTGGGGATTAGTCAATCACTAACATCCCCCAGTTCAACAATTTTAAAGCTGATTTCACTAAGTATAAAACTGGCTTATGGTTATTGCTAAACTCATAGGTAATCTCAGAGTATTTTGTTTAGGCATTACTACTAATATAGAAAAATGAAGCATTGCATTGGGTGTGAAAAAGACCCTAGATATTACACATTCAGAAACTGAAGAATTCCACTTCAGCTAGCTATTTGCCTCATAGAAAAGAAATTCTTGCTTCTCAATTGGCTCTAAAATTCAGGTCCAGAGTCATTAGAAAAGAAGAATTTAAGGTTCCTCAAATGAACAGAAAAACAAATTGCAAACCTAAAGGCATTGTGGTCCAGCATATTGGTCACGTGTGGTTCCATGCTAATCAAACAAGCAGCTACAGAACGTGAGTTATGGAGTCACCAAGCCTGAAAACATCTATTTAATGTTTTCTCTGGAGTTATAGAGTGAATTGCTCAGTCCGGGTGATAGCCTTCCTTCAGGTAAAATGCTCCCTGTTTTCCATCTAGTGGAGCTAGAATGGAGCTCAGCCTGGGTAGCAGTCTGCCTAACCTCTGTAGCAGGCCACTGTAGGTCAAAGTCATATCTCATTCCGTTGGGTCCTCCAGCGCCCTAGCATCCTGCTTACCTCAGTCGTTGCTAAATGTGTGTCATGAATAAAAGTGTGTAATGAATAGTTTACAGCCCTTCACCCAGACCCATGTCTTTACTTGTGTAGAGCAAAACAAAACCAGCAAAAAAACTGGAGAGATTGAGAGCCCGAATGACCCATGTACTCCTTGTGGTCACTGCTGTGAAAGCAAGTCTAGGCCTGGCCCCGAGGAGGGTGGATCCCGAAGAATGAGGGCCTGTGTTGCCCCCAGTCCGTGCCGGGAGAGATCGTGCCCACAGACCAGGAATTCATCTGCAAACTCTCAGAGGATTTGTCGTGGGATAAGCCAGGAGGGCGTTGGCCGTTGTTCAGCAGCTCCTGTCCTCTCAGCGCACACACCCTCTCCTTCTTCTTCCTTACAGAGCCACTCACCCGTCCTAAGAAGACCACACTCTAGGCTCCCTGGAGCCCTGGTGTGGTCATGTGACTAAGTTTTGAGTAGAAGGGCCGTGTGGGATTTCTGAGGAGGGTCTGGAAGTGAGATGGCATCCTTCGCTGCCATCTCTTCTTCCTCCTGCAGCCATGTATGGAGTGCACACATGATGGCTGGACCCCCTCAGATGGCACCTCGAGGATGGAAGCCACGGGAGGGTGATGGAGCAGAAAGATGGAGACAGGGCCCAATCTTGGCACAGGGAATCCAGTCTTCTTTACACAAGAGAGAAGAACTTCACGTTCTTTTTTCCCAGTCACTGTTATGTTGACTCTGTTATATGTGGACGCACTGATCCCCGACTCTCCAGGGCTCCTTCCCCATCCACGGCTCTCCAGGGGAGGGGTCTGCTAGGCCTGCATCTCCCGATCAGCTGCTGTGGTCCCACGAATGGGGCTCCTCACCTGCCCACACTCACAACCCTAAAGCCCCCTCCTCTTCGGCTGCAGGGACTTTTTTCCAGTTCCCAGAACTGGCCCATCTCCTTCGCACCCCTGGGCCTCTGCACATGCTCCTCCCTCACCCTGGAGTGTCAGCCTTCCAACTGGTCCTGCCCATCATCCACTCAGTCATCTCCAGGGTGCCCTCCTGGCCTCCCACTAGCTCGGACCCCCTGACTTCCTCTTCACTGTCCTATCACCATTGTAATCACATATGTGTTTGTGGGTCCGTCTGATTCATGTCTCCCTTCCCCATGGCACTGAGCAACCTGAAAGCAGGCAGCCCCGTTGTGTTCCCCTCTGTATCCCCAGTCTGAGCACAGTCTCTGCAGATGGAAGGTGCTCACACATGCCGAGTTGTGGTCTCATGAGCCTTCGTGTTTCTGCTTCCGTGAGGTCAAGATGCTCCTGTCAGCACAGGGAGGGCCGAGCAAGGCCGTTGGCCTCAGACAGAAGGCCCTAGCACGGATTCTCTGCCCGACCCCTTTCTCACTGTATAATTTCAGGCAGGTGCGGGCTGTGACCCTGAAAGTGGGCATGACAGAGACCCAGCCCCTGGGGCTGTGGGGAGAGCACCGTGAAGAGCACATGAAAATGCTGGGCTCCCTGCCTGCCACGGGGCCCCTCCTGCCCATCACAGCCCCAAGGTGGACACACAAGTAACTCTGCATTCCCTTTGCCCAGGTCCTTGCTAGCTGAGGACATTCTTCCACTTTCCATCCTTGGAGGTGGCTGATGAAAGAGGTCACGGGGCAGTCCACCAGCCTGTCCAGTGTCCAGCAGCGACTGCACTCCACCTTCCTGTCTGCTGGCTGGAGACGACTGTCCCCTCCTCCAGAAGACACAGGCTGGAGACCCTGTGGGGCTGGACTCTGGATGGGTGAGGTTATTCGGGGAGGCTCCATGTGGGGCAGTTAGGGTAGGTACCGAGAGCTTGAGGTGGGCAGAGATGACTGAGGGCCCCCAGGGAGGATGGCATAACAAGGAAGAAGTTCCCGAGTGGGAGAGACTGTGGGCACAGTCTGAGGAGGTGTAGACCCAGGGGCACCATGAGGGGTCTGAGCTCTGCCCCAGTTGGCTCCACCACAGCTAGGCAGTGGGTAAGGGAGACATCAGGGATTGGTAGGTGGTCTGTAGATGCCACTGGTGTGGGTGGACGCTAAGGAGAGAGACTGAGTTAACTGGGCAGCACTGGAAGGGTTGAGATGAGAGCCTTGGGGTTCAGCTGGGCCAAAAGACAGAAGAGGGGCAGCCTCGAGGGCCAATCATGCCAGCGCGTAGGCGGGGCTCTCCTTTCTGTGTCTGGCCCAGTCAAGACTCCTGCTGATCTTTCAAGTCTCAGTGCAGACAGCCTCCTCTCTGCTCTCCCAATCCTTACATTCCAAACAGGTCAATACGGTCCTGTTTAGACCCCACTCAGGGACTTGTGGGGTCAAGTCACCACATTCTCTCCACCACTGCCATTCCCTGGCTATGTGGGGAGAGGCATGGTCATAATCTCCATTTTCCTTCAACCCCGCTCACTCTCTCACCCACCCAAGGGGATAGCATCATAATCTCTATTGTCCACCAAACCTCCATGTGGTGGTGTTCTCATAACCTACATTTTCCATGAATCATTTCACCCTCCCAACCCCCCACGGGGAGTAGTTTGTCAGGTTCTCCATTCTCCATCATCCTTCTTTACCCTTCCAGTCAACCACAAACAAGGCCCTGTCAAATACGTAATGTTGTTCAAATCATCTATATTGGGACTGATTTTCTGTTTCATTTTCTGTTATTGAAAGAGAGATATAGAAATTGCCGCCTATAACTGTGAATTTGTCTATTTCTCCTTGCAGATCTGAGTTATTGCTTCTTGTATCTTGAAGTTTCACAATTAGGTATATAAACGTTTAGGATTGTTATGTCATCTTGATGAATTGGTCTTTGGTTTTAA